AGACAAACTTACAAGTCAGTGGTCACACAAACCAAATGTTTTCAGTCATTGACTGCATTTGATTTAAAAGTGACTATAATGTTAAGTAATTTACACACAACACTGTATATAACCACATGTGGACCACCTGCAGCTTCCCCCCCTCGTCTTGACATGGGATAATAATTCCAGTCTTCTTTTTGGAGCAGAGCACAGTCTCAGGTTTCAGAGTAGAATTCAGATTGTGACATAATGACAATCACCTCTGCATCTATCTGTCTTGAAGCATTTCATTATAAAAGAACACTCAGTTTTTATGCAGACTGGGAGGAAGTTTCAAAGCAATAACTCATTTCTTCAGTTTTGTGGTTGATGGTTGTTTAGTAAAAATATATGCAAGTTGTGTTTGTAATCTTGAATGTTTGATTTACAATGCAATGTTTCTCATGCAGCGGGGGCTGCCAATGAGGGAGTGCTGGCTAACTTCTTCAACAGTCTGTTGAGTAAAAAGACTGGGTCCCCAGGAAGCCCAGGAGCTGGAGCAGTTGGAGCTGGAGTGCAAGGGTCTGCCAAGAAAACAGGTAAAACCTGTTGTTTCAGTGCACCTCCCCTCTTACCTTCGCAAAAAACTCTATTTTAAAAACTTGTTCCCTGCAGGTCTACAGTTTTCCTTTTATCAAAACAGTTGTGTTATTGACATTGTGTGCTTCTCGATCCATCTCTGAGCATTGACAACATGCAGTCTTAAGACAACAGGAGTTAGAAACAAAGCCTTTTGTTGATAGTGGAGCATTTTCCTGTTTGGAGTTTTATCTCTGCAGCCTGAAAAAGAACTTTAAAACAGGGGAGAAAGAAAAGTTTTTCTCTTTGACTGAACTTCTGTCGACCAAGGGAACTTGTGACAGGCCTGTATGCACCAAACCTCAAACCATCAGTGTCCCCATGAAACTAATGTCACTCACTCCACGCCATGTCCCACAGCTTTCTTGCTCAACTAATTTATTTTATTTTAGTAACCTCGGCTGTTTTGCACGTTTCCTTTTTCCAGTTCCAGGAACGTTTTTTGAAACTTTGTTATATTTGGTAAATATAACAAAATCAAATACTGTTTGTGAAATATCAAGGAAATCATCGCATAACTCACCTCTGTGTCTGAGACCTCTGACATGACTTGTTGTTCCAGTGCTGAGCAGTGTTAACATCTCTGTGAGACCCAGCTGAAAGGATAATGCATGAGTACATGATTCCTTTGTGCAATGATTAGTTTTGCATGTGTGTTAACTGTGGCAGGGATCCACCAAGCTCCAGCATGGGACCGCATCACCATCCAACCCCCTCATCTCTCTGCTTGCTGGCCATAGAAAACTGTTTTTTATGATCACACACACACACAGAAACTACAGGAGATTACTTTTGGGCTTTGTCTCCTGTTTTTCCCAAGGGCAGAAGCCGGGTTTGACTGATGTCCAGGCTGAGTTGGACAGGATGACTCGAAAGCAAGACTCCATGGTTTCAGCTAACAACATACCACCGCCGACAGAAAACGAAGCGTGAAGGCAACAAAAACGGCTGCATCGTCCACTGCGTTAATACTCTGGAAAAATACATTTTTTTAAATAACGACCAAATTCCCAATGTCTATCAGTCGGCACACAAAGGGGTTCCGGTGAAATGAGTTTGAGATGCTATCAGATATGTTGGTGTTCTGGTGAGTTTGGAAGAGAGAAGTGACAAAGATGGAGATGTTAATGAGATGGAACCCGCTGAAGGCTTGGCTATATGTCTGTCCTCTCTTCCAGTGTAAATGTTCTTTTGTGAGGGATGTCAGTTGATGGAAATGTGTGCACACTCCCTGGCAGCCAGCCTGATGTGCTGGGCTGCAGGCACCCCGGGTCTCTGGGTAGAACATGCTCTCCTCATGGGTTTAGTGGAAATATACTGGTGGCCTCTGGTTCAGCTTATCTGATGGAAAGAATTCGGTTGCGATTGGAAAGGTATTTAAACAACAAATATATTCACTGAAAAAAGTAATTAAAATATTTGCAAACATATGTAGTATGTAAAAAACAAAAAAAACATGTTGAATATGATACTGATGTATTTATACAAAGTTCTGTCTTTTTATTTTATTTTGTGCACCATTTATCAGTTTAAGGAAACAACATCATGATCTGCAACACATAACGATAAAAAGCCACTGACGTCATGACACTAATTTGACAAGTCCAGATAGCTGACAGCATTTCATATCATTTGACCTCGTCATCTTGAAGGATTCTGTAAATAAAAAAAAGTCTATTCAGTTTAATCTTGATTTTGTATAAAATGCAATTCTGTCCAAATTCTGAATATGGCTTCTTTGACTAAATGAGACTGGTTGGCAATTGACAGGTGTAGAGGTTGTAACAGAATTTCTTCTTTAGCTACAGGTATGTATATTTGGGGAGGGGGTTGGGCAGCATCTTTCCTACTATAACTCCTAAGTGCCTCGCAGTTAGCTGTTCGTGTCTTAGTAGAGGTGCTCGTCTGCATAAGAGGAAAAGCCCTGTAGCACAGTCGGTTAAAGTTTTTGTCCCATTTCTTGTCATCCAAATAATTTATTTCATTTTACATTTTTTTAAATGTACAACAAGCCTGTGGTCACTGTTCTTTTTCAGAATGAAACATGTCTGTGGCCTAGTTGATAGTGTTTAATAGAGCAATAGATTGAATGCCTTCATACGAAACTGTAAAGGCTGCTGATATTAAGAAGAGACCACATTGTGGAACTTTTTGGGTCCCTCAGAAGAGCACTCGCTGTAGTTGAAACCACTCGCTTTGCAGCCAAAACACACACATTTCTCTGTGGTTTGAACAAAATGAGATGTTGTATTGTTCAGTGTTTGACGGCACTGTCCTCTTTTGGTTTCACATGTTTTATTCACACTGTACTTCGCATGTCAGTTACAACATTCCCAGTTTCTACATGAAGTAGTTGTAGAGACACATCCCTGTAGGAAAGCAGTTTTTGTCCCGACAGATCTTTTCGTTCCGTCTCTTTCGATGCCCTTTTTAAAACAACGACCTTTGCCTTCAATGTACAGCTAACAGCTTGTCTCACTGGGCGCCCTGCCTTCACAGGAATGCTTCTAATTCATTTGTGTGTCCTTATGGGGGTTGCTTATTTGTGTTATGTAATTTCTTTTCATTTTTTAAAAGTAAAACCATTAACTGTACCATATCAAATCATCTGTAATAATATTTATGGTTTCATGGATCCATGATCTAATCAGATTTAAGTGTATGTTATCATTCTTGAGTCTGTATGCAAGGCCCGGCTTAATCCAATGGATAATGAACATCAGTAGCTTTCACAGATAAATGGGATGTGTGAAGAGAGCAGTTGTTTGTTATTCAAATAACAGCAAAAAGGAAAAAACGGGAATTGGAACATGGAACCAAAGATACATAGTAGTCACTATTTTCTGCTTTTATAGATGATAATCATCCATAGGATTAATCTGTGGCCATTTTTTTGTCCTACTGTTGCATGGAGCTCTTGCATTCCACATTTCAGACCTTCCTATGATCTCTGTTTTGACTAACATCCCCCAAAAATGCCTTATTCGACCATATCTGCGATGTGAGAGTTCAAAAGAGAAACCTGCTATAATTGTGTTCTGATAGAATTTGACAAATTCACTGAAGTGGTACAGAAATACACTGCAATTAGGTTCAACGTCATTTACTCTGTAAGGGAATTACCACAACGTTTATGCATGATGCTACTCAACTATTATGATTTACTTTTGATCAAAATGAAGCTCTTATTGTTTTTAATTTTCTCTTTATTTGTTGTGACTGGGTGGGACGTGCACCTGAGGGTTTGTTGCCTAAGTGGATAAAGCACAATTTTCAAAACAGCCAGGAGCAGAACCACCACATGTTTAATTTAGCACTTTGCCATGGACACTTGTATCATTTCCCTGTTGCCACAGTTGAAACACAGAATGCATATTTCTCTCTCTTGCCTTTTAAGATAATTTAGCAATGAACATAGAATTTAACCTACACCTTAAAACTGCGTTGTTTACCTGCATTTGCTGCTTAAGTTATGGAAAGTGCCCCTTGTGGTTAACTAAGGAATAATTTCTTTCTGCTGTGATTGTACGTTCAGTATCAGTCCTGTAGAAATGATTGTCATTACACTTGGGATGTTTTTTTCGGGGACATCTTGAAGTAGATAAACCAAATAAATGTCCATTCATTTTCAGGGTTGTCCTTTTTTGCTCACGAAGCTTCCCGTTGTATGTTTTTACATCTTACACAGGCATGTTTTGTTTTAATATCTATATTATTTTGCCCATAAACACTTTGTTAGAAAAAGAGTTTTGAAACGTCCCCCTAACCTCTCCTAACAAAACATGACCACACTTGTTGAATTTGGCATTTAGCTGAGTGGAATGAAGCGCTCTCATGCTGCTCTGTCTCCAAGTTGCACTTAACTCTTCATAAAGATTGGATTTTGCTTCTAAGATTGAACAATGACAAGATGATGTTAACTTTTGTACTCGGACGTCAGTTGAAAGCAACTGCCTCCTCACGTCCTAACTGAATTGCCTTCGACCACTATCGACAGTCTGCATCGATGTGAGACTACAGAGCTTCTGCTTCCAGTACTTTTTGTATTCAGGATATCATGATATTGTAAACACGTGGCTGGCTGCATCCTTTTGTGTCCTGAACTAATTGAGAAGTTTGATTGTATGACTTAAACACAATTGTGTAGCCTCTAAGCTGCCGTGTGGATTCTCGCTTCTTACACCGACAAAGATAAGGAAAATGTTTATCAGACCCCCGGCTTCAATAAAACCAAGAATCCAAACTGTGGTTGACTTAAATATTTTTGTGTCTATTTTTTTTTTTTAATGATATTACAAAACATTTACCACTTTCATAGCTCCACAATCCTAATTCCATCTCCATACAACACTAAACAATATGAAATGGGGTCATTATTAATCAGTGATACCTACAGTACTGATTGTTTTGCTGAAAATAGAAACAAACTAAATTAAAATCTGTATCATTGCACTTTAATGAATGCATATAGCTTATTTTCACCAAAGCTACAGATTTTACATGATGTACATTTTTTCCAGCATCTCCAGCCCTCAGTAATTAACCTGGGCAACAGTTTGTTCCCACTAAAACCATATGAGGGCAGTAAAGTGCAGGGAAGGGTAGTTCAATCATCCCAGCTAAAGAAATGTAGGTTTAATCCACTTTTACATTTACAGACTGTTCATCCCTGAACTCTTTAACCTTATAAAAACATCTCTCGCCCCAGTTTTTATATGGAACCCCATTGCTGCCACTTTGTAAAAAAAAATCCCCTAGGTCAATATAATGAGAAACTTTCTCAAGATATTGATGTAACTCAAAATATGTCTTAATAAATCAGACTGATTACTTAATATCTCAAAACCATGTCATACTAACTCAACATAATGACTTAGTATCTCAAAGTGACTTAACATTCTGACTTTTATCTCATAATGTGACACACCATCTAATAATTTGGATATTTTATGTCATATTTCTGATATTTATCTCATAGTTTTTACATTTATCTCATAATTTGAATGTAGCATTCCTCCTTTTTTTCTTCCACTGGCAGCAACAGACTCCCACAGATTGATTTCAGAGTGAGGAGATTATTTTACAGATAAAACTGTTCAGGTCATCACATGTGTTGTTGCCCCGAAAGAATTACAGGGAAACTCCACAGGAAACAAACATCCCTCACCCCATGATAATCTCAACAATAATCCCTGGAAGAATGGAGGGGTCGTTTCCTCAGGCCTGGAGGGACACTGTGGTGGGACAGGGCGGGGACGATGGTGAGCAGAGGCCGGGGAGAAGCTTCCAGAAGTGTCGGCTCCTGCTGGATCCGTGTTGCGGGGCTGTGTTTGCGGACACTTGAAACTTGGCGCAGAGCCGACACAAGAATGTGCAGTTTCCAGAGGGGCGGAGACAAACCCGCCCGCCCCGCAGCTCCGTATCCACCACGGCCGCTTGGTGAGAGCAGGAGGCAGCCTGAGCCTGCGGGTCCCCGCTGGTTCCCACCGACCTCATCAAGTTTACAATAGCGAACAGAAACGCTCCCTCTCCGGCCTTCTCTCCCACAATGCCTCCATGTTTGTCCGGGTCCGGTCACGCAGCGGCTCGCGCACGGTAAGCATATCTGTTGTTGTTCAACCAGAACCCTCCACGGTGAAGTGACACCGGGACTCGAACAAGTGACCCGCCTAACAGAGTTGTAAGAGCGGCTGTTTGAGGGAGAGACGCAGCGTGTGTGTCCCGGAGGAAGCACCGCAGGGAGGGCGACGCGAACACGGACACCAGCCGGATTTTCCTGCGTTTGACGCCCGGGAGCAGGAGGAAGGGCTCCCGCCGCGGCTGCTGGTTTTCTCCCCCGCGGGGAAGGAGGCTATGAAAAGTGGACTGTCCGGTTCGTCTTCTCCATCCACCTCCTCCTCCTCCAGGCTGCATGGAACACAGTGTGCTCTCCGCCACACAGCCCGGTTCTCGGTGAATATATGTCGTAGCAGCCCCCTGTCGAGAGTCCAGCTTCCTCCACGAAAACCATCACCATCATGAGGACCACCGAGGAGACGGAGGGCTTTGACGGCGAGGCCTCCAACACGTCCATGATCTCCGGGGCCAGCAGCCCCTACCAGCCCACCACAGAGCCCGTCCACGCCAGGAACGTGTTTGGGGGGATACGGTGCGACGTGGAGTACCTCAAGTCCTACTTTGGGATCCTGAAGGTGGTCGAAGTGGTAAGTCAGAGCATGAGTGCACATTACTGCATCTCCAAAGTGTTCCAAACATGCACCAACACCCACCAAGCAGCCAGAAACAAGGATTAAACAACCACCACGAGAACTGTTATCACCTCTAAGTTAACACTTTTAACTGCTTGACCTTATTTTGAGCTTTAACACTTTCACTCCTGTCACTGACACTCAAATATGAGATGGTTTCTTTGAGCACATACCCACAGAGGTCCTGGTTTACCCTGAACTACAGCATTAGTAGCGGGTCAGACGAGTTTCATGCTAATAGTGTTTCTGTATTCAGCCATGCATTGCATAACATGCAGGTGTTTTCCAAGCAAACCTTTATTTTGAAGGATGTCTTCATACTGTAATCACATTGTCTGCCTGTGATGATGAATTAGTTTCTCTTAAGGGATGTAAAAGTATGTAGAAACTGAAAGAAGTACAGTACAGTGCATACGTCCACAAAGGCCCAATCCTCCCCTTAAAACCAATGAAGCTGCATCAAATCGCAAACACTTAGAGAAATCAGTCGTTGAATAGTTATCTCGCAATGTGCAAGAAAGTGATAAAACAATTCCAGATCCACCCTCTGATCCAGATCTGCAGGCTTTCCTCCCTGAATTCTTCCACCAAGCTATTTGGTAATCCGTCCATTAGTTCTTGTGTAATCTTGCCTAATAAACAAATAAAGGGACAGGGGTGAAAACATAACCTCCACGGCACAGTTAAAAATCACCTTTCCAATGTGTGACTGCTTTTATGCTATTCAACTGATGCCTGTGTATTTGAGCATGTCCTGAAAGACAAAGAAGACAAAAATATATTATGATAATTCCTCTTGTCGATGGAAAATACACACATTCTAGCTGATACTTTAAATGGACACACGCAAACCAGATGTCTGAACTGGGAGAAGAGGCAGCAAATAAGCACAGAAACGAGGGCTCCCAAAGCTCTGACAATTCACCAGAGGAGGAAATATCTATCGAGCCACAGCCATTCCTCTTCTTCTGGTGCCAAAAACTCCAGACACAGGCCTGCACACTCATACGCATGAAGTACGTGCGTCCACAACAGGAAAAGCCATGGAGTTGAGGAAACTAGCAATTACCTCTAACAACATTTGTGGGTTGCACAAGCAAACTAAAAGTCCAAAACTGCTTGGAAGATAATGCTGCATACTTCTGGCCTCTCTGCTTTGTTTTTAACTGCAGAAAAAACCAGTGTTTGAGAAGTGTTATCATCCAACTTGTGGGTGGTGGAGTTTCCCAGTGGTGTGACAGAAGTGCCCAGTCAGCCCATGCTGTTGCACACACCTGTGATATTTACCTCCGCGTATGTGGGAAGTTAGAGAAGGAAGCCATCTGTCACAGGCTTGGGGGAAGTTCAGAGGATGCATTAACCGAGAGCGTTAATATTCACAGTCTTCTATTGTTCCAAAGCAAATGCTGCAATATTTTTTTCGACTTGACTGTTGAATGGTGGCATGAAAATGATTTTACCTCTTTAAAGTAAATACAACGCAAAAACAACAGTAGACAGAACCTGCAAAAGAACTGAAGCCAAAATAATGTTGTTGCAAAAACACATTGGACAACAGTTAAAGTGAAGCCCTGCAAATATGCATTTGCATGCCTGGTGTTTATTAAATGCTTTTCACATAATGCAGTAAAATATACTGGCTACTGCTCAGCTTAGATAATACAGGTGCATGAGCATTATCTTGGTGCAGATTATGAATCTTATATTTACACTTTCTATTTACTTTAATGGTTTGTTCTGCTTGAATACAGACTTTCCAGTTTGAGCTGGTCGTATCTCTTTCACTGACAAGGGCAGGACGAATGAAAGTTGTTCTAGATTACGTCCAGTATCTCAGAGGAAGCCTTCGAGTTTTGCTGCCAACCTTTTATAGCTTCACTGCAGTTTTTACTGCTCTGTCCTCTAGTTGCTGAGACTTTCGTGATGATCTTTTAGAACTTGAAGATGACAAAGCAAAACTGTACTCAATGTGGCAAGATTTATGGTTAATCAGTAAACTGTCCTCTGCCAAGAAAGTGCTATGACTGGTTGTCCTGTGGGAAGTAGTCATGTGTTGAATTAATCATCTCTCTACAGAAGTCAGTTGTATGGAGCGGGCATCAATGTAAGGTGGACTGGTACTGTACAGCACTTCATGATGAATTGTACCACATGCTTCTTTCAACACGCACCTTATCAGTCAAAAGTTAAAGGGCTTTAATGCCTCGGCTACCCCCCTTTGTCCATACTTCCTATTTGTCTGCCAGGGAAATGTTTTCAGTATTACCTCCACGCCCAATTCATTTGGGTCCTGACATTTGCACTGACCCCTGTTTACTGAGAACAGCTCTTCCTGTTGTGTGTAGTTGTTAATAGACAAGTGTAGTTGTTTCTCACCACGGCTCTAAAATGCATTTGCACAGGCCTTTTTAAAGATTCCACTCATCAGTCATTGGATGAATGGATGCACAGGTCACACCGTTGACCCTGCACTGATCAGACACAACCCGCCTGTGGGACGTAACCTGACCGAGGTGTTTCCACCCTGACAGCAGGTTGGCCGTTGTCTTTTTGTTGTGACTGTGTCAACAAAGTCCAACTGATATTCACCTTGTGCTGCTCTACACTGACAGGAATTTGATACAGCAGGCCTGATGGTACACCGATCACACTCTGAAAGATTTCTAATAAGTTACAACATCACTATGAAGTGGAAGGGCAATCAGTAGAGCACATACCTCCGGCAAGTTCCAACTATTTCTTTAGTTGACTGAATTTCAGACAGGCACTGAAAGTATTGATATTTTACTGAGGTTTTCTGGAGGGGCTGTATGTGAGAATAAAAATGTCTGAGTCAATTGCTCTGGACATTTTCTGGAACTTTTTCTGCCAGCCACCTTGTAAAAGGTTTGGAAAATGTCAGAGTGAGCGGAATGTCTTGACTTCTGCATGCTCTACCCAGACATCTCTCCTCGCCTGAATGTTCTGGACATTTTCCTGTTGTTGTGAACACGCCTGACCAAGACAATCTCCTGCCACTTTCTTTATATATGACAGACAAACTCCGGAAAATGTCCTTCTCAGACATTTTCATAAGTTCATGTCTGAAAACAGCATTGAAGTCCCACGTTTTACTCTTTCCTAACAAGTTGTAGTTAAATGTTATGTGAGGGTGTTTTTTTCTGTCAGGGTTCTGTAATGAAGTTACCAGGTGCACCCAAATGTCAGGGAGCACTTCCTGCTCTGAAAGAGAGACACCACATGCTCCCCTCTCTCTTCTGGTTGAAACATTACTTATTTGCAGCGTGTTGGGAGACGTTAAGACAACAAGAGCTCCGTGCATACATGTGTGGAGACATGGATGCCGTTGCTGTTTTTCGTGTTCTCTGGGGTGAAATATAACCTGCATTCAAGCCACATTTTCCATCACATAGATGACTGTGGGCTGCTGCTGGAGCATTTTTGGTTATTTCTTTTTGAGCATGAAGTCCCACAAGACTAGAAGTGCAGCGTATAATGTTGCCTAGTTTCTGCATTGAGGCCTCTTTTCTCCCTGGTTAGGTTTCTGTCCACAACAGATGGCTTATAAGAAGGGGATCCGAGAGATCTTTAAAGGCAACTAATATGTGCATAATCTCCAAGGTAAGGAAACATGCTCATGTAGGGGAAGAAAGAGAAAGAGTTGAACATAAGCAGGTTGTGTATAGAGCTGAAGTTTGACAAAAAATCATTACTTGCAGAATATTTATTATAATGGCTTGTGAACCCCTCCTCTTCCCATGTGACTGCCTGACACCTGCTACAAAGGGACTTGGGGAAACGCAATATGCTTTCTTCAAGAGACATGACATCATCGATCAGCACGAGCAGCCCTCCAGTCCTGTTTGGGTGTAACCACTCTGGATGAGCTACAGCCACAGACGGACTGCTGTCCAACAACAGTGCATGTGTCTAATGAGGCTGCAGCAGCTGCACCCACCAAAGGTTTCCTCTTTACGATGCTCAGCTCAGAGGATTTGTTCTTTTTTGTCTTTGCTTTAGTTATTTGGAAAAATAGAAAGAAAATCTGTCACAGAGAGAAGAGTTCTGCACAAGAGTCAGCATGAAAGAACAGTGCACTTTTGGGAGACGGTTCACTCTGCTCATTAAACTGGAAAAACACCATTGGCTGTTGAGCCACTCAGAGCTTGAAGGATCTGCAGTAATGGGCTTTTGCAAATGAGACTTTGGGGTTGTTCTCAAATGCATTTGTTTTCAGCTGTCTCAAGCCATGAGCTGCAACTAGCTGGGCTGGATTCAATTTGGATCCAGATCAGCTGACAATTCATACTGGGTTTCACAAACAATTCCAGGGAAGTCTTTATCCTAGCTCTGCTGTACATTTGGTGAAATTCATACTTGCAAAACAACTTCATTCCAAAGTTTTCTCAATCTAATGATTTTATAATATTAATAATAATTCCCTTCCTTCTCTCACGGTAGACCTTTCTTTTGTTTTGATAATCTGACGACATTCCTAAACTCAAAACCTAAGAACTTTACTTCATTGCCTGGTGACTCACAGGAAGCAGATTTCAAAGAGCTTGGTGCCCCTGGTTTAAAAATGTGGATTTTACATTTTAATGTGTAGTGTAAATGTTGCTTATTCAAACTAGAGACCATCAATGTTTGTTAAAAAAAGTACTTTTCTATATATGATCCTGCCATCTCTGCAGCCAGGGGTTTGTTATTTACCACAAATATGTGAAAAGAAAAAAGCAATTGAGACCAAAGCAAGACGCACCACAGAGACATTCCAGTTTAATCAATGTGCTTCTCCACTTGTGATTCTATGAAGTGTTGGAAAAAAAAAATCTATATTGTCAGAGAGCAGATCGTTTCCTTTCAACCCTTGTATCGAGTCATCAAAGCAAACTGGATCAGTGAGACGTGAGGTGCTAATGAAGCAGCACTTCTGTTCACGCAACTGATTATTTTTATGTTTCTATTATTAGCCTCGCACCGTTAATTAGATGACGAGCTGAACAGAAACTGTTAGAAACAAAACGTATGTAATGTCATAATGTTTTTAACTGAAGATGAATCATTGACTAATTTCTACATGCATATTAATTTAAAATATGAATGTAAAATATTAATCTACTCATGCAAAACTGTGCCCTTGCAGTTTGCAGGATCATTTTTAATTTTCACATCAGTGTTTAAAGTAGAGAGAGACAAAGGGCTGAAGTCAAAACTTCAACAATTGCCATTTACGTTTTTGTTCTTACAGTTTAACCTCACGTCATCCCTCAACTCAAACCCACCATTATATAATGTATCAACATTTAATGATGTCAAACAGTTCCAGACCAAGCAGATCTGGTCCGAACTGGTTCTGCAATCTGCTGCTTCACGTCAGTATTATGTCACAGTCTCATGGCGCTGTTAGGTCTCTCCGTTTTGAATAGCACTGAGCCAATCAGTAATCTGTGTGTGGTTTTGTCGGGGTCTCGATGGCAGAGGAACACCTAAAGAGCAGAATTCCTCTCATACTGTGGTTTGCTGATGGATGTTGGCTGGAGGCAGGCGTCGTCACAGACCGCCAGGAGTGGGACTCATGAGATGAGCTTATGGCCTCCGGTCTATTCATAGGACAATCACTTCATCATCTGGAGAGCAGAACCTGGCATCTACATCCCCTTCATCTTCTCCCACTTAACTCTCGCTATTTCCCCTCTTTCCTCAGGTCCTATCTCTCATCGGATTCATCTGCATAGAGACCATCATGATGTGCTCTCCCTGTGGAGGCGTCTACTTCTTCGAGTTTGTCAGCTGCAGTGCCTTTGTGGTGACAGGAGTCCTCCTCCTGATCTTCTGTCTCAACCTGCACACCAAGGTGCCCCATGTCAACTGGAGCCTCACGGTACGTACAGGGAGATACTGTGTCAGAGGGCCAGACTCATAGTGAGCTAAATAACTGGTAAATGGTCTGTATTTATATAGAGCTTTTCTAGTCTTGATGACCACTCAAAGCATTTAGAATAACTAACGTTAAGGTAAATTGCTAGCAAGTGTTGGTAAGTCATCAGACTACTGTTGACCTATGTGAATTTACTTGTACAATGTACTCCATACAACAGGCTATACTACGTAAAGATGGAGAATATCCCGTACGACGTCATGATTACATCTGAAAGTCAAGATCACACCTTCACATATTAACTTGATTTATATTTAGGACATGAAAATCTATCGTGTGTCATCTGTGTAGGGAAAAAAGGGGGAAAAAATCACTATGGCATTCCCAGAAACCTTAGCAGCAGTGCTTTGTGTTTAGTGCTAATTCATTAAATCTTAATTATATGCTGTATCTAGATTTTATATGCCGTCACAAACGAGAGCTTCTAGATGTGCAGGTTTTCTCCTTTTGCAGGTTGGCAGTTAGCTCAAAGCTTTGCTGTGCCAAACCTGTTAGCGTGACTGTAGACTCTTAGTCTTGTTCTTCTGTATTTAGAGTTTAAATTGATGTCTTTATATAAACCATCAAAGGAAAGGTCCATGAAAAGTTTAAGTAAGAAATGTGTCGTCAAACTGTTTGTGCTTCTCAGCTTCATTTTTCTCCCTTGATTATCAACATAATCATAGTTTTCATATATTTCGGGGCTTTTCATGAATCTATTCTTCCCTTTAAGGAACTGAACTGAGCGGTACAAGCTCTTCACAGTTCTTTGCTTGAAGAATAACATACAGAAGTATCAGGGTAAAGCTCAGTGCAAACTCATACAAGCTGGAAAAACTTTGAGTTTGGAGCTGAGAACATACAGTTTCAGCATTACCACCAGGAAATGTGCACTGTCAGCACCTGTAAGCAAATGAGCTGCTGGGTTTCCTCCAGCAGATACTGGTTGACTTCCAATATTTGCGTATACACACACGCTGGTTAGTTCTGAAGCTGCAGCCAGCTCTTTTTCACTCCTCTCAAAGAGGAGTGAAAAAACGTCTTTAACTGCATTTCCAGGGGCCACACAGCTCACAGTGTAGCTACCGTAAAGCAGTGGATGTTGAGCCATATGTCCAAATACCACCAGAGCTATCAGATTGCTTTATGGTATCCTTGGTACAGTATATTCCGCCTCAAACCTGAAGAGGGGTGTGTCTTTGGCTTTTACTTCTGGCAGAGCGACACCAAATGAAAGCTTTTTCACAGTCTGAGAGGCCAGATCTAATTTAAGAGTGCTGATCAAGGAACTTTTACCAGATACCTGTGACCAGTAACAGTCCATGTGATCAAAAATCCTCCAGTTCAGTCTGTTTCTTTTCTCCTGAGACTCACTGGCAATGACTAGTTAATAAGTTTCCATTCAAGTGATCAAAAGTCTTATGAATTTAAGATATATCAAAAAGCAGTTCTTCATTCTCAAAACAACTTGATCTATGGTATATATTATTTTTACTTGTGTATTTACATTATCCAAAATGTTTTCAACAATGTTCAAACCCAGAGAGTTGGTTGCTTTTTAATTGTGTCGTATCCACTTCACTGTTTGCTGCATGACATGAATAATACTTCAATACATTACCTCGTCAGTGAGCATGATTCACGTTTGAGTCGGGTCGATTTTCATCTGCAATCATGACATCAACGCCCATGATCTTCAATCTAAGTATTTTGTTATTGTTTCGGAAGAGGCCCCTAGTGGAAGAAATTACATATTGTACGATTAACTTGCATTTTATGTTTATGTGGTTGAAGAATTTAGGCTTTAGTTTCCTGTGGTTTAGCTCACTGGAAGTAGTTTTTAGTGTATTTTCCAAGATCAATACTTTTTAAAATGGTTCCAGTGCCTAAACAGTGCCAGAACCAATACTTTCTTTAAAAAGACACAAAACGAAGGGAAATAATTCTTTTTTTCTCATAATTTTTGGAAGTTTTCAAACATGTGCTACATGTTCCAGTGTCTGAATCATTTTGCTTGAAATACAGCCACTCTTTCCACCATTTAGCTTTCAGCATTTTGTTGTCTCGTCGAGTTTGAGGTAGCTACTAGCTACTAGCTCGATCTGGTATATATCGGCTGTGTGTTGGTACTGGATTTCGGTACCAACCCAACTCGTTGGTATTTCAAGGAATCATGCTATGATGCACAAAATTAGAAGTCTTTTAAAAAAATAACATGTACTGTATTGAAGGACAACAAATTCTGTGTTGATGAACAATAACCCCCTGCTGCTCATGTTTGATTAGTAATGAGTAGCTGGACTCACAGTAGGTGTTGCCTTCAAGAGTTCCCAGTCTCTGACTCTAATCTGTAGGGCTGTTCTGTTGGAGTAGCTAACAAGCCCATGATGCTTGGTCGCTCTTCACAGGGGAGCCTCTACCCCACGCTGTTTATGTCTATCAAGTTCAAAGCTGCTCCTGTCAAACTGGGCCCCAGGGAATGTCGCCATGAGTAAGCACTTCTGAGTGTTAACCAACTGTTAACCCTTTTGCTGCCTTCCTTCCGTTCCCCTCCTCCAAACTGTGAGCTCACACTGACATTACTCGATGGAGTGAGCTCGTTTTTATTATGCGCCCCCGAGAGTCTCAGAATGAGGTTTTGATTGTACAATTATATGCTACGTGATCCAATCTCCTCCAATTCATCCTCCATGATGACTTTGGCAGCGATGAAGGGGGAAACACTGGTCCTGACTCCACTCCCACAACCAAATGAAAGCAGCTCTGGGACCTTGTTGTGAAGCTGCTCGGTGACTTTCAGGGATTTAGTTGAACTTCGGGGCTTATTTTGCATGAATGAGATTATTTTGCACAACAGAAAGACAGAAGAAGGCAGACCACGCCTAATTATCACAGCAAAATAATTTATGGCCTTGTTTTCAGGTTCTGGGGCAAAAATTGGGCAGTAATGTTATGTTCTGGCTGCAGACTGCATCTCATCAGAGTTAATGCATGAATGAATCAGGTTCTTCAAAGGGAAGACTGATGGGGGACTACATCTGTCACAGCTTCACACACCACTCCTGTCCATCTGTTGACCACAATAATGTCTGAAGCTTTGCATGTAATGCAAATACAGATATATTCATATACTAGTGCTGCAAGTAGTTACAGTTTGTGCTGAACAGTAACTTCCTTCAGTCGTTTTTCAGACATGAACTCTGCAAAATGGCTGGACGTAGTTTGACGATAACATTTGAATAACGCAGCAGGAGATTGTCAACGTTCACAGACAACAGGAAAATGTCAGGATCATTCAGATGAGGGGTGGAGCCTGGGAAGTAGTTTTTCGACACTCTTTATTTTCGAGCCCTTATCGACATCTGTTGTCTTTACAAGTTGATTTCTTCATCAGCATCTTCTACATATGAGATATTTGTATTTTTCTAGTTTAGTGTCTGCCGTGTGTTAGAACCATCATTGACATGCCCACTTGCTAGCTAGTGGATGTTTCTGGACATTTTCCTGCATCATTCTCACATGGACTCACTCTTTTACAGATGTTTTACTAAGGGACTGGAAGGAAAAGTTCAGGAAAATGTCCAGACTTCAGAACATGTCTGAAAACAGCTTTAGAAGGAGTCGTGTGCTGTCGAGAGCATTTATCAATGAATCTTAGTTAAATAATATATGTGTGTTTGATTACATTCCTACCACAAACATGCACCAGTGTCAGAGCATCTTCTTTGGATCCTTGTGCACACTAATGTAAATATTAGTTAACTAATAATGTTGCAACAAAGAATTAAGATTATTGATTTTTCACCAGAATTTACCCTCTGTTATTCTAATGACCAACATCTCACACACACACACACACACACACACACACACACAAACACACACACACACACACACACACAGCTGTGGATAGTGGTTATTATTATTAGCCACAGTGATTAATCTATCATCAGTTCAGACCAGAAACCACTTTACTCTTCTTCTATTTATTCAACCTACAAGTGGATTCCAATAAAAGCATGTTTGGTTTTAAACAGCTGAAACTTACCACCCAAGCAGCCAAAAGACGTGAAATACATCTCCACTATCTTTATTTGTCTTTCAAAGAGAATCGGGCAAAGATGTGAAAGCTGGAGAGAGATTTTATTCTCGCATGAAGCTTCCTGGCCCCGTGTGACCTGCTGCAACTGTCAAGGGCATCGACTTCATAATTAGTTTTCCACTGCATCCTCCAGGGTTTCCATAGATTCAGTCCTATGAGTATTTCTAGCCTTTACCTTGAGAGCACAACTGAAATAGAACCACACACTCACACACACACAGCAACATGAAATGTCATGTGTTATTTATACTACTTACAGTCACTTCTGATCAAAAACCCTTTTTGTGCAAAAACCAGAAATAAAAACCTAAAATAAACTGGTTCCTGATTTCATTCCTGACTCTGTAGGGACTTTCCGATAAACAACACTTCATTACGCAAAATCACATGCTGAGATACAAACATGTCTGATGGTTCGTTTTTTTCTTTTCTTACTCCTGATAGAAAATAAGTAAACATCAAAATTTGTAGGATCTTAAAATCCTGGATCCACCCTCTGATCCAGATCTGAACAAACATGTAATTGTTTCTTCTCTGGCTTATGCCCCACCCCTTCACAAACCGTCATGAAAATGGCATTAGTAGTTTTTGTGTAATCCTGTTGACTAATAAACAAATGTAGATGAAAACATAAGCTCCAGGTAGGAGGTAATAATAAGTACCAGGGCCAGTGGTTTGGTCCAGTGTGTTGTTTAACTTACAGATTGTTAGTCTGGTTAAAACGTGGACTGTGCAAGAGAGTGCAGCAATGAGTCTGCACACAGGAACATGACACTGGAGCGTTAAAATACAGTTTAACTCGTTGAACCAGTTGAGCAAGATACTCGAGAGCGAGTGTTTGCTGAAAATGTCAGCAGTGTTTGTTCTGTGTGCATGAGGAGAATGAGTACATTGAGTGTGTGTGTGTGAGTTTGCGATGGACGGGTTTATGATTTCAACTGAAGGCTGGGATTAAAACACCGGTGCACATTGACCGTGTGGGTCCATATTAATGTGTTACTGATTAAACCACAGGATCAGTGACACATTATCACAGCGTTAACCAGCCACTGATTCTGCTTTATGTAGTGTGTGCGTGTGCGTGCGTGCGTGTGTGTGTGTGTATGTGTGTGTGTTAGCCTTGTGTGTCATATGAGAGGCCGCGTGTGCCATGATCACAATCATGCATCTGATCACGAGGGCAGTTCCCCAGTCAAGCTGAGCACTTCCATATTAACCCTTTCTCCGAACGCAGCAAAGTAAAACATCAGAGGGAAGTGTGTCTTTCCTCCTTTTCATGTGTGTAGAGTGTGTGTGTGTGTGTGTAATATGATGTACTTCTGTGGTTTTTAAACTCAGTGTGAAGCCTGGACATGGAATCAGCCTTGTTGTTAACGTTGGTTTAATTAGTGTCAAAAGGCCTCAGAAGATTTTGGTTTCGTTAGAAATATTAGATTACGTGTTCATTGATGTGCTTTGAGATAACAAGCTCATTTTCCTCCTTGTTATGAGGAACATACAGTGGCCAGAAGCTTTGTGGGTTGTTCGCCCGTACATTTGTCTCATTCTCACAAACGCGGAATGTTCGGAACAAGAGAATTTCTTCTAATATGTCACAAAAGTTCACTTGGACACGAACATGAACTGATTAGATTTTTGTGGTCAAAGTCATTGCCACTTCACATTCTTCTGAACATAATTTATCAGGAATTTCCAGAGGAAATTTCATTACATCAGGCACAACCTTCTGCTTGTACTGAAGAATGAACTGATTCAAATGTGACGGTCAAAGGTCGTAGTCGCTCACTTGATATGTATTTGGCCATAACTCAAGAATGAATTCACCAGTTATAGTTTATTGGTGTTGGTCCTGAAAGTATTGTGGCAGCTGTACTGAGAATTTTAAAATAGTTCCTCAGCTGCTCATCTCATGAAATACTGATGAGATACTTGTTAGTGTTGAAAAATAAAGTCATCTGGAATGCGATCCTGTATGTTGTGTGTCTTCCTGTAGGACCTTGTTAACACGGCTGCCAGCACCTTCTTCTTCTTCTTGTCGTCCCTCGTGCTCGCCTGCATGAACCACAACACTGGAGCTGAGATCGCAGCAGTGGTGAGTTTTCAAACCAACCGACCTGTTGTCTGGTTTGGTTTGTTTTTCTGTGCCATCAAAGCAAACATCTGTAAACCTCTGCCCAGGTAAGTCATTTAGCAGCATCCTCTCATGAAGGATTCATGCATGAATAGAAATAATCAACTCTCACAAATACACCTGAATTCACAATTCTTAAGTAAGTAACTCAGATATCTGTATTTGTTCATTCATGCACTTTAAAACATGTTTATAATAAGTTTCACAGTTTTAATAAATGAATAAATAATAAATATAACTATTTCTATAGCACTTATCTAAATAAGGTACAAATGACTTCAGGCAAGGAGTTCCAGAGCCTCTGGGTTCCCAAATCGAGTTTGCACTGAGATATTTTGATAGTCGCAGCTGTGTTTCGCATTTAGAAGTTTTTTTCTGTTTCGTGTTTGCACCAGATCTTTGGCTTCCTGGTGACGGGTGCGTACGGAATCAACACCTTCCTGGCTGTACGGAAGTGGCGCCTTGGCAACGGCTGTCAGAGGGCGCCCCAGTCCAGTGAGTACATGCGAGCACGCACGGCATCTCGTGGAGAAGTGGAGGCACGACCTGAGCTCGCGTGAAAGCTGGCAAACGGTAAAAAGAAAGACTAAGACAAAGCCACTCCACCGTTGGGCGGCTGAGACGGACACCTCTCTGCCTTCAGAACTGTAAGGACTGTGAAGTCTGCGGCACAACGGCCTGCTCACGCTCGCCACACGCTTTTTGACTTCTTATCACACCACTTTAGCTGTGCTGTCTCCTTTCTCAGCTGCTGAACACATCTTCATTTCACAGCTGCAGATGCGCTCTGTGGTTTTGTGTATCAGGCTGCAGTTCCACGCAGAGAGAGTCTTGACAATCGAAAGTTAAATTATAAAACTTATCATCCACGTATCTTTAACAGTCTGAACGACGACGTCCACTAAGAACCAACGAAGGTCGACTTCCCTCCTACTGTGCATCAGTGATGATGGTGTTGATTTTCTTTAGATCGGGTTGTGTTTCACTGTGAATGAAGTGAAGTGGAGGAAGCTCAGCTTTTGTACAGTTTGCTTAGAACATGCTGCTGTTTGTAAAGTCTTTGGTAATAATAAATACGATTGTGGATCCAGGACGCCACTGAACCAGAAACCCACAGTAACCTGCAGGAAAACAGAGACACCACAACTTCACCGGTCAGTCTTTTGTTTCCACGCTGACGTTGAATATTTTAATGTACAGATCACACTTTGAAAATACCTTTTAACATGACCTGTAATGACCTTTTATTTTAGATACTATTACGATCTCTGCCATGGAAAGCGTAGAGTAACAGTACAGGGTTTTACTTTCTTGCAATTAAGACAGAAAGTGAAAGACGAGGTCAAAATATCTGAGTGAAACAGAAATCCTGTTCAGACCTGGTTTAACATCCGTCCTGAGGGACACAATTACGAGACCAAAGTCAAAATTCCTAACACTCCATTCCAGATTGTTGTAATATTTACAAAAAATATTCTCATCAGCATTAAAAGAAATTGAATGTCTGGATCTATGTGAGCCAGGAGATGAAAATGTAATCAAAGCTTCTTATCAGAGGCTTTAGGCAAATCAATTTGTTGATCGATGCTCTCGGTCTGAACCGAACCTCAGGTATCGAACAACTTAGAAAACGTTTGAAATGAAATCACAGGGTGCCTCGACGTGAACGCTGTACTTCCTATTGCCTTCCTTATTATCACACGTGACAGGACGATCACAGAGGATTATGATTCATTTTTAATAAAAACAGGAAATGTCAAGTACAGGTGGAGACATTGGGATGGAAATATGGTACATTTAACAACATTTAACTCTGTATTTAACTCTTTGAATTAAATGTCTGTATGTATCTACAGTATATTATCACACATTTCACGTGTTATGAAATCTGTCATTCCACATTGCAGCTCGTACACAGATTGCAGAACATTGTTTTATTTTTTTTCCTGTTTGTAGTCGACAAGGAAACAGGAAGTTTTTAAAAACAAATCATATTTTTGCTTATTTTTTAGTTTAAAGGAAGAAATGCTTATTTAATTTGTCATCTCACATCGAAGTGATGTATTGAATCAACACTACAGTTACACATGTTTGTGTTTTTCTTTGTTGTGTGAGACCTCTGTGTGTATATTTGGCTCAGGTGAGTTTGTGCAGGGTCTGAATTGACTCTGTGGCTCCATCTCCTGGTCCACAGCATTGTGTATGTGTGGGTGTGTGTGTGTGTACGGGTGTATAAGGACCAGAAGTGTATTTGTGTGTGAAAAATAAAACTGCACGTGCTTTTTAAATACCCTCTGAGGTTTTCACATTACACGATATGTTTGAATAATCAGACTTTTCTCATGTTTTCAAATAATTTATACCACGTTCAGCTTTTTCTCTTGATTTAGTGACTGAAAGAATTGTATGGAAAGACAATCACGTTTGTATTTATATCTGTCACCGAACATTGATGGATTTTGATTTTTGAGTGACACTATAACAATGAATCACTTAAACTGTTGAACAGCAGCAAAATCATTCAAGTGCATTTTACTATTTGATAATATAACCTGACCATTGTGTTTTTAAAAGCTTCCTAATGTACAAGTCACAGTTTGTTATGAAGAAGTTGTATTTATGAGAAAGAAAAGTTTTCGATCAGTTTCCAGGTTGTGATATAAACAGTTTACACACATCAGGTGTAAATGAATGAATGTTTGAATGAAATTAAAAGTGAGATGCTCATTTCTTTCCCTTTTAACTTTGTTAATAAATACAACACAGTCTGTCCTGTACAGCACGGAGCCGTACTCAGCTGTATTCTTGTATTTTTAAACACTCAGTGGGCTTCACTTCGGTTTATAGCGATCATTTAAATAAAGTGATTTGGACATTATTGAAAATAGCTCAGGTTTTTATTCAGACATTTATTTTCACAAAAGACAAAAGAGCATAACAGTAAAAAAAACCACTATATTTCACCTACAATCCTTCAGCAAGGTGCCTAAAACGTGCCTGTGTTGGCACTGCGTCTTCACGTTGAGATTAATTTGACGCACACGTTTTGTGGTAATTAAGTGAAGAATTGTGGGAAATTTGTCCCAACTTCATAAGAATGAACGATTTGAAATCCCATTCGATTTTTGTTTACGTGGAAAATGTTGGAGTTGTGGAGACTTGTGGGTTTTGATAGGACGGTTATAACACTGTGTATGACATCACACACTGTTTAGCATCAGTCATGGCTCGTTCTATAGCACATGGCGTGGATTTTATTTGTTTTTTTTTATTTTAGACTAAAAATCATACATGTACAATTCTGTATATTTCTGCCAGGACACCATTAAAGCAGAATATTAATATAGATGAAACAACTTTTACCATCACAACAAACAAAACTCTCCCATATAAGGTACAATGGTGAATAATTCGTAGATGTACTTTGTGTTTTCCCACGTCAGTTTAAATCCCACATGGAAATCAGAGGCCACTGACGCCAATTTTAAATCAACTACTCTCACTTCTGTTTTATAACACTTGTATAGTGCAGATGTGTTGTACATAAACAGTCACTGTGGCGTTTTAGTGCATCTGATTTCTCAGTAGTGGCAGTGGAGGAACTGAAGAATCAGACAAATGAGCAGAAACTGCAAAAAAAAACAACGATTCACATATTTGATATTTAGCATTCAAGAAAATAATACTGCATTAAGTGACTCCAATGCATTATTAAAACACACATACATACATACATACAGCAGACAGGCTGGAAAGGCTCTCCAACTTTGTGTTCACTGAATAGATTTGAAAAATTCATCATTGTTGCTGTTGCAATGTATTGACCCGCAGAAGGTTGTAGCACAGGAACTCTGTCAATTCAAAAGTCAACTTTAAACAAATAGAGGCATTTCAGTCAGGAACACTTTGTCATGATTTACCCATTTGTTGCAAATGGGGAAACAGTTGATTGGCGCTGAAGGCTCCATTCTTTGGATGTTCCGTGGATTAGCCGAGCAGCGTGCTAAGATAAAACAGGGAACATGTGCAGAACCCCCTGTTGGGCGTAGCAGGCAATGTACGTTTGTTTAAGATGAATATCGTTTACCACGACCGTGTTCGGACTCGGTGCTAAAAGGTGGCGGCTGGGGTGGTGGAGGCAAGTTGCCGTATTTAAAGGGGCCGCTTTGCTGAGAGAATGGGCTGTGATTGGTGGGTGGCTGATGAGCACATGGCTCTGTGTCCTGCATGAACTAACGCAATGCTTCATTATTACCCCTGTAGATTTAAAAGGATTGGACAGAGGTTGTAACCAGCCAACCTGCCGCCAACTAGTTTGTCTAAATACTGTACAGTTTCTTTATAGTGATATATAAAAGCTGATTACACCCTTCTTACAGACAGTTTATGTGGTACACCCAGCTAGAACTCATGCGCGCTGATACAACCAACCTGCAATAAATCCAAAGTGGAGCCTTTATGTTTTCAGGTTGGACGTCCGTCACATTCTGGTGAACACACATGTCTCAGTGGTCAAAGGTCAAAGGTCATGGTGACCTCATATGAGTCTGGGAAAAAACGTGTATGTAAACAGAAACTGCCCTGGTTGGCATTAAACAACAGGGCGGTAATTATATTTATGTTTTAAACTGTTTCCCACAGTGTTGATTGAACTGTGTGATCATTTTTGTGCTGTTCAATTCAATTCAATGGTATTTGTAAAGCGCCAAATCATAATATATTGTTGAACTGTATTGAATAACAGAGAATACAGTGGACAAAACGACAGAAGCACTTTAGTGAGGTGTACCTAATAAACTGCCAAGTGAGTGTAGGCCTCCTGTCTTATTTAAGATGCCATTCGTAAACATTGATTCACTAAAGACATTCATTTAGTGTTAAAGATCTGTTAAGGTCACACTACAGGCTCAAAAGTCAATATCAGTCACAAATTCAGATCTAGACTGAGTGATGTCACACGTGGATACAAACAGCTTCTAAAAATTCAGTATATGACACCGAACGAGTTCACAGCTTTATGATAAAGAATCAGGTCGATCGAGAGCTTTTATATTTTACCAAAATCAAAGGAGACTCTGAAAATTAGTTTGGGGATGAAAAATAACTGTTGTTTTCAAAATGAGTTGCACTGAGCAGTGAATTCTAAGATTTAAAAAAACACAAGTGTTTGATGCCCAGCAGAAGAAACCTTTTCAAGCTGCAGAGGATCCTGTTTCTCCTCTTTAAACATGTTTGACCCGAGAGGACTGAACCGAGAATCCCAGATGAGAGTAATTAGGACAAAGTCAGTGTGTCCATGTGATTTCTACTGCACACACACAAATAATGTTGAGGTGGGACGAGACAGATGTCAGCACAGCAGAGGACATTTCTACTGCAAAGGTTTACTTGTTGTAAGTGAGTAGTAAACGTATCCGCTGGTGAAGATCCCTCCAGGTCTCAGTCTGAGTCAGAGTCTGAAAACTCATCTGGAAAATAAAAGTGACAAAACACGTGTTAGTTCTCCACGTGTGCTTCCTGTTCGCCAGGTACAAAAATAAGAGAGACTTGGAAAGTTTGGTGATTTCAGTGAGAGAAGGTGACAAACTAAAAATATAATTCTGACATGATGAAACTAACTGAGCTGTGATATCGAAGAAAACATTTATAGGTTTTATTTCCATGAAGTGATGCAGTCAACTGTGCTATGTTAGGGGTTGGTTCATATTCACTGCCCCCTAGTGGTATCAAACTTGATTATGCAAACTGCTTTTATTACAGTAAACAGATATTCCACAATATTTTTCTTCACAAATATAAAATGTTTTGTGAGTGAATGTTAATATGAATTATGTTAAGTACATATATTTAGCACACATATATATTTATATATATATATATATATATGTATGCCTACTTAAACACTGAATTACCATACTTACAAAACAAGAAAAACAGATATTAAATCAAAACTTTTGACTTCATATAAAATCACATATGTGTCTATGTTTAATATAAATGTTTATATTTGTGCTGTTACCTTGCTGCCTTGACGGCTCTTCGGTGGTCTCCCCTCCCTGCTTTAAGAAATTAGCCAGCTCATTAAAAATGAGGTAAAAATCTAAAGCGAACACGATGGTGGCGATGAACCCAAACACCTGAGAAGAGAAGGAGATATGAAACAGTGGGAAAAGAATAAGAGGAGGTGTTGGACATGTATGTACTAAGTAATAATGATGAGATGTTGTCTTTACCCCTGCAGCCTTCGAGGACCCGTCCACATATTTGGACACTGCCATTATTGAGACGATGAAGAAGATGATGGAGGCGGTCACACATCTCATGAAATCCTTCGAGAGAAAAGAAATTAAACCAAACTCAACTTTTTTCAGCACTTGAGGAGTTTCATATATAGCATGTTTACCCATTAAAAAGCTTTCTATTTCATATTTTCATATTTTCAGAATTGATCTCACCATAAGAGGCCAGAGGAAGCCCTTGAACCTTTCGTTGAATTTGGTGGAGTAAGCAAACAACAAGAAGAGCGCGGCCAGGAACTCCAGCAGAGGGACGGTGACGAAGGCCGCAGCCGTGGACGCCGCGAAACACACGAACGAAATGAAGGAGAGAGCCTGAAAACACATCATTAAACAGAGAGAGAGTTTGAGACAAAAAAGAAAAGACAGATGTTTTTCTGTTAAATGTGTGTGTTTATTTGTTTCTCAGTAAGATGCTCGAGGGCAAATTTACATTCTTTATCTGAATTATAAATAAAGTGAAAATTGAATCTTTTCCCTTCAAGATGTTACACTGCAGCAAAGCTGTGAGCCGGTGTGCATTACAGCTTCAGGGCCACTTCCTGTAAGCAGATACATCTGTTAATAGACAATGTTTATTCACACGAGGCTTTCACACCAAACACTCTGATGTTTAAACCTGTGCAGTTAATCACAGAGTGAAGCTGCCCTGTGTTTGAAGCAAAGCGTCAGAGGAGATGGACGCACCATATCAGTGCAAAATGAAAGCAAGTCCAGACACTGTAATCTCTAACAGGCCCGGCCATCTTGTCTTTGTCTCAGTCAGTCATCCCACAGCAGCCTGAGGCCAGGAACTCCCCCTGACTCAACCCAGACTGCTGCTGCACTTTAAAAGAAAAAGAGCCAAGACAGCAAAGTGAGATTTTTCTCTGAGGTTCTGGGAAAATCCTCGTGAATGTTTGCTTCTGAAGAATAAACTGTGGGATGTGGGGACGATCGCTGCGCAGCACTGAAACACGACACATCAGTGGGCGGGCAGTAAAGGCCATCATACAGTTCCATGGTATCACACATTTTAACTGTGCCAGGGCTGAAGAACACAGATTATTTTCACTGCTCATTCCTTCTAACTGTTTCATTTATAACCAACTGGGTGAATTAAATCAGTCAAAATGTCCATCACAATATTGCAGAGCTCAAGATGACATCTCCGAATGTCTTGTTGTGAACAGCGCAAATCCAAAAAGGTTTTATTACCTCCGCCAAGCAGGTTGTGTTTTCCCCCCTGTCCGTTTGTTTGTTTGTTTGGAGACAGTATAATGCACAGATTGCACAGACATTTCCACAAAATGAAGTAGAAGGATGTGGTGTGGGTCAGGGAACAACCAATACATTTCAATGCAGATCCGGATCAGGAGAAAGATCCAGAATTTCTTTTTTCTTTCTTTAACTTTGCCAGATAGGGCGTATTTCATTGAGGTTTCATGAGGGGACTGCTGGGCCTTAAGATTCACTGGATCAGGATTTTTTTTTGGATGCGTACCAAATTGCACACACTCACACAAACACACACATACACAAACATACACATACACAAATATCAGTCCCTTAAACATGCCAGATTTTTTCCATCATAATTTTTTTTTAATTCTCAGAGAAATCAACAAAAATGTTGAAAAACGCCTTTTTTTTGCATTGAGTCTGCACCAACATTGAATGGCCTCTTCCTCGACCCTCACCACATCCTTCCACCAAGTTTCATGCTAATCTTTCCAGTAGTTTTTACAGAATCTTGCCTAAATGAACTTCATGACCTCCCTGGTGACATAAAGCCACGAAAACGCAGGGACCAGAGAAAGATTGGCATTTTTCATGATACGTGATTTATATGATGAATTGCCAGATTTGTATCAGATGACTCAATCAGATAGTTGCACATTTAATCAACAAATCATTTCACTAACTTTGTGTTATCATTTATAAACCCTGACATTGAGATATATGATCCTTTTGTAACAGGATCAGAAGGAGAGCAGCATTTCACTGCTTTTAAAAAGTGAAATGAGCAGACAGTGAAACCTGAGTACCCTAAATAAAGAATTCTGATAATTATTTTTGTTTCAGTTTCTACAACATGAAGAGGAGGATGGGGGGGGGGGCACACTTTTCACACATTAACCACAACACATGCCCGTCATCAACAGCTCATCTGTGTTTTGGAAACATTTCAAACGCTGCAAAAATGTGCACCTTCTTTCTGGAGCTTGTCACTGACAGAGACGGAGAATTCTAATGAGAGGTACACAGTGGTTTGACAGACTGAATAATACTGCAGGCTCAGCAGGATATGAGTGTCTGACTAACACTCTGCATAAGGGTGAAGCTACGAGCTGTTTTTCTCTCTGTTGACTTCAGGGTCTGATCTAACGCGGCCTTGAAGAGCTGCATCAGAAACACAATTAAACTCTGATACTTAACTGCAACGAGATTTACTCTCAAGCTACACAGGGAGGGTTTGTGCTCACACAGTCCACATGCACGATGCAGTAGAACCCAGGTATGGGATTGTATAAACTATAATAACACTGCACTGAAATCTGCCAAAACTGAGTTAGAATGTGTATGAATGGAAATTAGTTTGTGATTGAATAATGCACAGAGACTGGCAGCAGTTTTCTTCTTTAAACTTAATTCTAGTTAAAGTTGGTAATGAAATGATACTGTACAAAGTGTGAGATTGAGTTTATCAGACATTTAAATCTTAATCAACATCACTGATGTTGGGAATCAGGAACCAGAACTGCATTAAGGTAATTCTGATTTTTTTATTGGATTTTCCAGTTTTTCATCCCTCTCAACCTTAACTTGACTTTTTACCTGTATTCTGTACATGAGTCAGTAATCCTTCAGTAGATGTACAGGCCTCCTGCACTTACTGGTCCTATAGAGAGAGATATAAACCCTGCACCATATATCACAAATCTCCTGAAGCTTTGAGTCTCCTCCTCCTGAACCAGGTGTGAGGCCTCACCTCAACACATACAGAGGGAAGCAGAGGTCACAGGGTCACAGAAGAAGAATTTTACCCAGGGGGCGCTGAGCACAATCACTGTAGAGAGGCTGTGCTGTGTGTGTGTGTGTGTGTGTGTGTGTGTGTGTGTGTAGGGGGCTGCAGAGTTCACACACAGTGAGCACTGTACTCTCGGCCTCATGTTATGGCAACAGGCTGGAGGATGTGACTGTGGGTGAGATAACTGCTCTTATGGGCTGAAAGTCACATGACACAAATGTGAGGGTTCATGCTACTGCCAGAAGAGCCTTTCCTGTCAGTGACACATGATGCAGGACTAACTCCATCAGTCTTTCAGTTCCTGGTTTGATGAAATCCATTTCGACTGTTAATAAGAAACTTTGAAAGTTTGCTGTTTAAATCGATCATGCACAAACTGACAACAAAACTATGAGACCAGGAGGTTGTTCAGCTCGATCACTGGTGACTCTTAAAACAATGAATAAGCTGCTTATGGATAAGTCTTCATGCGCTGTCCACAATCCAGATGTTTCCACAAATGTGTATCCCAAGTTTGCTATAAGATCTCCCTGCTCCTCCCTTTACTAATGGAAACCTTGCGACGGAAACCTGACTGACCTATATTCAAAGTGACACTTGAGCAGTCTCTTTAAGTTATTTCTAAATGTTCACATAGTAGCTGCCAAAGCTGCACGGAACTTTAAAAGTACCCAGCGCGCAATGGCTCCAGTGCGCACAGGGCGAAACGCTGGCACAGTAACAGCTCCTGCTCCTCGTGTGTGTCAGAGGAGATCCCCCTGGTCATTTCTTACCACTTCACCAATGAGCAGCATTCCTTTCCTGGAGGAGCAGAACTCTTTGCTCGGCAGAACCGAGAGCAGGGCGTTCTGGTGCGGCGGCCGAGAGCCGGGAGCCTCGATGTCCCCCATTGTTCTCCAAAGCGATACAACTCTCCTCAAAGTTCAGGCTCCACAAACTGCGCGTATGTAACGGGTTCAATGTAAAAACTGTAGGAGGAGGAGGAGGAGGAGAAGAAAGAGAGAGAGGGAGACAGAGAGAGAGAGAGAGAGAGAGAGAGGGGAGGGTGGGGGAGACAGAGAGAGAGGCTGCGTGGAGGCAGCTCGGGGTGGAAACGGAAACAATGACAGCGCGGAAGCGAGCTCCCAAAAAGTGCAACATCTGCTTTCTCCAGATGTGGAATGAGATACACACACGCGCGCGCGCACACACACACACACGCTAGCACGCACGCACGCGCACATACACACGATCACTCAATGATGTCACACGAAAAAAGGGAATTCATGTTTTAAACATATTTGTGGTTTATTTGCGTCAATTAAAAGCATCTGCAAAATATGGCTGAAGTTAGTCACAGCTTTATGTTTGTTTAATATGTAAAATCACTTAATGATTGTTGCAAGAATCTTAAATATGCTGCAAACTACAGTAAGTAAACCTTTAAAACGTATGATTGTAGCCTGCAGAACAGCATCACAGTACATTCAACACACATTTTCACAACTAAGTAGCAGTGGGTGTTGGTGTTACATGTTTTATAAATTTGATTCACTGATAAAGTATCTTCTGTATTGATTTGATGTGATCTCATTCATTGTTTGGACTCTGGGTTTGACCTCTTGGCTTGTTGAATGTGATGTTGCTGAAGAGAATGTAACCGTCCGCACCGAGCAGAGCAGCTGACATGAGAGCGAATAACTGCAAACAGAGAGAAGATTTTAAAAAGTGCATGGATTGTCCCACGTTCCATTACAATACAACACATCTGGAGTTAGTGCACATTTATCTCTCACATTGTGGAGACACAACTTTAAGTTAGAAATAAATCTCTGTATGTTTGTGAAGATTCTTAGTCATGCAGGTCATGGTTTCCTCCTGAAGTAGTGTACAAACTCAAGCAAGTCCAGTTACCTTTGTATAAAACTGAAATCTGCATGAATTAAACAACCAAGAATGGGATTATAGATTAAACAAATGTTAAATAAAGTAAATCTCACCCCTCCAACCAGTGTGCCTGTGACGGTGTGTGTGATCAAAGCCAACACGCTCAAGACAACAAAGTAGATGACTGCAAAGACTGAATTGAAAAAGTCCTGAAAAGAAATATGAGAAAAAGTTAGGACAATGCAACATGTAGAGCAGCTTATTCTCCTCTCTAAAGGACCATGAATACTTTTTACGCCAATAGTGTGCCACAGAACAGAACTCACAACTAAAGGCCAGAAGAAGAAGGTCAGCCTCTTGTTGAGCTTGAACAGGTACAACGACAGCAGCAGGGAAGTGATTAGAAACTCCAGCACTGTGGCTGTGATGTACTTTGGTCTGGATGCGACAGTGAAACACACAAAAGCTGCAAGCAGAGTCCCCTACAACAGAACAAGAGACACACAACAGATTAGTTCAATGATAGAAGATACAAATTATAATACTTACTAAGCTGTAAAGTCCTGACTTGAGATTCACAAGATGTTTTTCTGTCCGTCCTCAACATGTTGCAGTTTTTGCAGCGAAAGAGGAACTGCTCAAACGTCTACCTGTTACATTTCAGTTTCCTCATCAACTAGCAACTGATCCTGTTTCTGCTTTAGCCTTGAAAATGCTCTCACAACTCTAATGTGATTCACAACAAACTAGTTCTAGCAACATTGTTAATAACTGAATTACACAGCAAACTTGTGACTCCTGGTAGTTATTGCCTCATGCACTTTGTCTGTTCCAGCTTTCTAATGTGTTCAGGATGTTGTCACTACATTTCAGCTGTTTCAAAGTCAGAATGATGATGATGATGATGATGATGATAATGATGACGATGAAGAGTGTCTCACCATCTCTGCTGCTTTCAGGATTCCCCTCCTGGATTTGAGAAAGGCCGCGTCCACGTCCATGACTGTGACCGTACTGTGATCTGCTGACGTGATGATGCAATTTCATTTGCAAACGACGACTTGCTCAATTTCCTGAAACAAGTCATTTCCTTTGAGCTGTGAACGAAATGACTGTTGGTGAAAATAATGTTTTACACCAGCTCCTGCTGCACAACAGTCGACTATGTAAATAAATGTGTGCTGATTTTCACATAATAAGATACAGAGGATTTCATTTATATCATATTCACTAAATGTTGGACAACAATCATTAGATGTTTTACTGTTAACTCACTTGTCAGGTTTTTGTAATCCATGAGAAGAGCCACAGTAAATGTTTTAATAATTTTTTGTGTTTTTGGACATAAAGCATAATATATGAACACACTGAATACAACACATATTTCATTTTTACATCAGCCCACAATAAATGTATGATACGAGTGAATAAAACATATTTTATTCAAAAAAAAACAACCTATAATAGAAACAATCCATGAATCCCACATGGTATTTTTTATGACTTGAGGCATGGTCAAAATAAATCCACATCTCTGAAATGAGTCGTGATCCATTTACTCAGTTCACTCGTTGGATCTTTTAAATCACAGCAGTAAAAGTTATTTACTGTAAATGAATGTTGTTACGCCAAGATGAGTCTCTTGGTTCTACTCAACATTGTCCCTGAACCATTTCTGCACAAAAAAACATTTAAAAACAATTTCCTGTTAAATAGTGTGTTTTTTTCAGAAAGGCACATTTTAGGTTTTGCTTCCTTTTCCTTATGTCTGGCTCCGCAGTTTTGTTCTCAGTGTGGCCAGTCGCACTTCCACGGCTCAGACTTTGGCGCTTTGAGACACTTTCCTAACTTCTCGCAGCCTGCGGGGGCCCAATTCTGCAACAGAGAGCAGCCATCACAATAAAACATAAGAATATTAATTCATCAAAAATGTTATACTTGTCTTACTAATAATTCAGCTTGGAGGACAAGCACAAGATTTTTGAGTTCTTAGGCTTTTAGTTGGTTTCTATCCCAGTGTCCTTTACATCTGGTTCATTTCCAAGACTTCTGGCTCAGAAATTTAAAATCCTGTGCAACTTTATTGATACTGACCTATCGTGCCATTTATTTCAGGTTCATCACATGGAAACTGGATGAAAATATGTCTTAATAGCAAAAAATTAACATGTACAATTACTTTGTTCCCCCCATTACAGACTAACCTTCACACTGCGTTGTACAATGTTTTCCAATATAAACTTTAGTCTTATTATTTTCAAAACACCCAATTATTAAGAAGAGTTGTGGACTTCAGACCCTCAAATGATGCAAAAATGTAACTTTTCATTGCTGAATGAGCAGATTATATTGTTAATGGACATTTTGACTGAGGATCAACTTTATCTTGACACAGGACATGACGAAGGATCACAGGCAAACACACTAGCCCTAAAGAAAAGTGGGTTTATTTTTTTTCACCACTCGGGGGCAGTGCTATGACACGAATAAATCCAGAGCCGAGTCCTTCACAGTGTTGTTGAGGAGACAAAGCCACAGTAACATCCAGCTGCTTAAAATAACCCAGAGGAAAATGTTCTGATTGGAGGATAATTAATTAATGACTCCATCAAATATGATTCACATCATACAATAGTGATAAACAAATGTGAAAATAAAAGCTCAAACTGTAGAAGTGGAGCATGAACATTGATGATATGTAGCTCAATGTAAACCGATAGCAACTCTTACTGATTTTATCAATAGGCTCCTTCAATTTTTCTAAGTTACATGTTTCAAACAAACCAGATTTAGCTGCTACTGAAACAGGAGCCTGTTTTTACAACATCCTGCCATTATTCTTTTATGTTTGTACATTTATGAAATCATGAAAGTAACTTGATTTATTGAAGTACAAGTAAATCTCACCATCACTGCGAGGTCGCACATGTTGAGCTGAGGGATCCCGGGCACCAGAGAGTCCTTATGCTCCTCCACAACTGGAGAGATTCTTCTCAGCACGTCCTCGTACTCCTGAGTCAAAATGCTGCAAACGTCACAGACATGGTCAGTAACACTTCAGCATTTGATCATCACATAACTGCCATTTTTTTTAAAATAGAGAAGTTGACATCTTTTATTATCATATTTATAATGTAACTATTCATAATATCTTTTATGTTTTGAATTTTATTACTTGCATCATCTGTTTTTTTGCAAAGCTTTTCATCACTTTGGTTTGAAAGGTGCTCTATAAATAAACCTTTAATTATAATCTTCAGATGTCCTGATTTGCCAAAATCCAGTGATTCTTATTTTTACATATGTGACAAAGAAGATCAGCAAATTCTCACATTTGAGAAGCAAGTGGACATGTGGCCTTCCTGCTTGAAAATTGATTCAAATAATCATCTTTTTAATTTCTCTGACAATCAACCACTTGATCAATTGACTAATGCCTTTAATTCTAATGTTCAGCATATAGAATGACTTCAAGCCAGAATAAGAAAAAAAAAATCACAATTTAAATCTTAGGCTTAAATAATTAACGTAGATGAGTCTGGTAACACTGAATATTTGGACCCTCTATGATAAACAAAATGAAAAGCCATTTCACTCCAAGTTGAGATGCAGTGTGAACATGTGTCCGGTCATAAAACCATACAACAGACTAAATGTTCAGGTCATTATATTATAGCGGGGACATGCTGCAGCTTTTCAACAACAAAAACAAAACAGGCTGTCCACTCGTGCGCCCTCTGGGAAGGCACGCTCAGCGGGGGTGAGCTATGTAACCTCTATCCCATCCCCTGTCTCTCAATTACTGCTGTTGGACACCGGTGAGCACGAGCACCTCTGTGCATTATTATATTCAGTGTGTAAAACACAGGGGCCCCGAAGGCTTTCAAAGGAACGCTGCTCTCAATAGGACCTGTAGGGTTAATGGGCTGTGTGTCCACGTCTGTGTGTGCGTGTGTGTTGGTGGGGGAGTGGGAGTCTGGTGGCGTGACACACAGATAGACAAATATCAGCAGTGCAATTACACCCTCGATACACTCGCCGGCAGCACCTGTGCCAGCCCTCCATCCTCCCTCCGCTGCAAGCCCGGCCCTCTGATTGGCCCCTGGGGAACATGTGCATGTGTGTGAGGTGAAGTGTCAATTAGAGTAATAACCCCAGGCTCTGTCCAGCTCACACCTACCCTCCCCTCTTAGATCTCCCACAGGGCAGCAAGGCTTCCTCCATCAGCCGGCACCTGCTCCTTTCCTCCATGCTCTCAGTCTTTACTTTCCCCCAGCAATTACTCGACTGCTACTGAACCAGCTGCAATTAGTCCCTCTATTCGCGTTTGCCACATTCGTCATAAGCCAACTATCTTTGCGTTGTGACCCAAACTGGAAAAAAAGCAGATTATTGCTCCATACAGTTCCAAATGTAGACATCCAGATTAAATTGCTTCGGCTATCTAAAATCTCAAACTCTGCTTTCGCCCGATCTCGATCAGCGAGAGGGATATTTCATTCCCCTCATATCTGCGCCCGCTACTGATTGCTGCGATTCATTTTGGTGATAAGTGATGAAGCAACTTAATAGAAGTAAATATAAGGGAGATTTATCAGAGCGCTGTAAGTATTACATTTTTCGAGTCTGCAAGCAAAGCATGAGAAAACTTGCACGAGACACAAAGTTTCCTATTGTTTTGTGCGCGCCCGAAAATCTTACAATGCAGACCTCTAAATCAAAAAACTAATAATATCATTTGTTTATGCCTCCTCTGCAAACAAATAATGAAAAGCCCACAGTCAGCACACCTCATTATCATGATTATAACCCTTAGCTTTCTGGTGTAGAGGCAAAATCTGGAATAATAAGCAGGCTGTATGCAAATTGAGTCTTTTGATTTATAATGTATGGCACCCAAGGGGGATGGGGGCATTGCTCAGGTGTGTCACCACTCTGATTACTGATTCATAACACTATTGCTGGAACACACACACACACACACACACATACACACACACAGTGGCAGAAGGTGGGGGAATTGAGGAGACAATCAAATACATCTGTCCTGCCTACCCCTCCCCTCCACCATCTTCTCCACCCTGGTGGAAATTGAGCACTTCAGTGAGGACTATTGATTGGGGACACAAGAGCGCGGTGGCAGGCAGCATATGAGACCAGGCCGTGCAGGGGGGGCTGTCTGTGGTGTTGCGGCTGAGACTGCACTCTGGTTGATCGGGGGGCTCTGGGGGGATGTGAGCTGAGGTGTTGAGAAGGGCAGGTTGTGTTAACCTCGAGGCCTGAGGTCACAGAGGTAGGGGGTGAAGTGGAGGGCAGCGAAAAGGCTCTGGATGGACAGATGGACCACCATCACAGACCTGACCAGCTTCTAACTGTACCAACCTCATATGTCTGAAACAATGGCAGCGAGTCGAGGCCTTGTTTAAAATAGAAAAGAGAAACAACTGAAACTAAAAACGACTGGATGATTGTTCTCTCCTGGATTACATAATTACAATATACATTTGTGTGTGTGCGCACTCTTTGCTGTATCACAGCCTGCGACAGTAGTGAAGGTATGTGTGCAGACAGGCCCTACATCATCTTAAGTGGCTCTTTAGGTGTCGACAGAGATTAATGATGGCCAGGCAGCCAGTCCAGCTGGGGGAACGAGGAGCACACGGACAAAACTCCCACATACACATGTGTACGCTACACACACACACACACACACAGGCTTAACTAGGATGGAGTAGAACGGTCCCAGTGGATGCAGAGGGACAGAGGCTGAGCGGTGAGGAGTGAGCTGAGATGCATATCAGTAAGTGGGGAGGGAGAAGTAACAAGGGGAAAAGTAAGACAAACGTCTGGAGAGAATGGTGAAGATTAGAGAGGATAGAGGAAGAACGGCGTGTGAGCAGTAAAGAGGGGTCATGAAGCTGAGTGACCTTGTAGAAGTACTCAATGACCCCTCAGTGTGGGAGGGCACAAAAATGAGCATGTCTCTCTATGTGTATGTGTGTGTGTGTGTGCACATCCAGCACTACACCTGGCTGCATATTGATTGTTTTTTTTTTATTCTTCCAAGTGAATAGCAAGGCTAAAAGGTGGGCAAATGAAAAACAACATTAATGTTTTATCATCCAATCTCACAGCGCGACCGGGAGCAGTATGAGCGCGAGGTGAAGAAGAGATGAGGTCAGAGCAGAACCGGAGAAGCAGAGCTGCAGAAGAGAAAGGTCAGTCCGGGAGCTTCTACTGCAGCAGGGAGCCAAAAGGAATATTCTCCCATCAAAGCCATTTTGAGATGATCTTAATGTATTAGTCATGCTCTCTGCTCGCGTCATTTTTCTTTAAAGATCAAATAAATATTCTATAGTGACAGCGTGGAGTAAAAGGGGATGTCATCTATCTTTGCACCTTTATTTAGACTACGTAGATTTTTATTTAAAAACGTAATTTCCACGGTCCGTCCTAAAACACCTGAAAATACACCGGACAGGAAGCATTTGGTAAAATGCTGAATTTAATTACATAGCAGCTGTTAGCACAGACAGTGTCAGTGACGCTTTTAATAGATTATCCACGTTGCGTTCTGCACAGGTAGCCGAGGCAGATGATGGTTGTTTTCTTCTGTGATAGGAGCCTGACAGATCAGCTAAAGATACATCTTGACCGAAAAGACCCAATCAGCAAGCGGTGGTGAGTGTCTACGTCATCGATTCCAATCATCATTTAGCTGCTCTCAAAATCCGGAGAGTAGTTTCAGACACCAGTTGTATCCATTGCACAGTTGATGTGTTTTCAAACTAAAAGCATCGTCGTGTGGATGTAGCCTTAGCGTCTACCATCACTTTCTGCTCTGAGCTTCTTAACTCTCCCGCGAGCTGAGGCACAGACACACAAAACTCCATTAAACAGCACTCGCTCTCAATTTAGACATGAACAATTTATCTTGCAATTATAACCCGTAGTGGTGCACCAGAGGCTCGGGGGGGGGCAGATAGTAATCTTTAAGGAGCTGTTTGCAATCACAAAGAGAAGGGTGTAATCAGGCGAGCTCTGGCTGAGCGGATCAATGCGCCGCCCTTTTTCATGCCACTGAATCAGCATTGATCTCATACACAATCTGTGCTACCAACAGGCAAACAACCTTCCCATTCTCACAACTCGCCTCTTCCTTTTCTAACTTCTCTTCTCTTGCTGCTGTTTGTCTTCCCTCGCTCGTTCTCCTCAGTTTCTCTTTCTGTTTTCAGGAAATTCACCTGATTGGGAACTTTTCCCCAGGATCCCGTCCCAGGTGGAAAATGATTGGCTGCTGTGTGTGCTCTCTCTGGTCGTGAGTGGTCACGTCTGGGACGTCTTGACCTGGACAGAAGTTAATGCTCTGAAAGAGAAGACAGACACGCGTTAATGTTAATATATATTTTCTTATTTGAAGCTAATCCCACATTGGATAATGATCATGTCAATGAACAGCAATCAGCTGGAGGCAGACATGTTCGGTATCAATGATACACTTCTAATCCAATGACTAGTGAGGAGCCTTCCAAGATGAGGACTTTGCACAATAATTAAGTGTCTTTATAAAGCTCAAATTCAGACTGTGCATTGAAATGACTTTGCCACTTTGGAAGCAACATTTACATGAGGGGGGGAATGAAAACAATTCTATCAATGTTTCTAAATCATCTGAGGCCATTTTACAGGTCTTCAGTACGTCTGTTCTAAAACCACAGAGAACAGATCAGCACTTAATCTGAGCTCTGTTGCTAAACTATTAATGCACCTCACAGGCATTTATCACTTCATTACCCAGGTGAAAAGATCTTTATCAAGAGAGACCTGGACAAGAAGGAAGCACAACATTGCATTAGGTTTCAGGTAAACAGGGAAAACCAAAGACAAATGAAATGAACAAACTAAAAAACTGAAAAATAAAATTTAAAAAACTGAAAATAAAAAATAAATAAACCTATAGAGTGGTTGTTAGCAGGATTACTCAAAAGTTACTGAATGGATTTCTATGAACTTTGTGGAGGGGTGGAGCAAGACCCAAGAAAAAACCCATTTAATTCTGGAGCAGATGTGGATTCATTTCTTAAGAGTTCTTCTCTTGTTTTCAGTAGGCGTGATGAGGCATTAACCTTGGCGGAGGTATGCACTCTTCCAATGCCCTTCTAGTTAATTCGATATTTTTTGTTCCTTGCAATTCTTCCTGTTTTTTTTCTTTGTTTGATTCTTTTAATTCAAACAAACGTCAACTAAAACTTTCCTCTGTGTGTTAATTAGCTGAACCACTTATCTATTGAAGGCCACGAGTATCAGAGGACTGACACACTGAGACAAATGTGTCATACTGAACTCAGCCGAAGAGATCTGGATGTTTAGATCTAGTTTTGCAGCGATCTTTGACTCTAAGCTGAATATTAAATCTTTGTATTGCTGTCTATGTGCACACTGTCTGCGAGTGTGTTGTGCAGCTACTGTCCATACATCACACAGGTTCAAGTTCTCTTTTCCTGCCTCCCCTCTCCAAATCTCTCCAAATCTCTCCACGTCTCCACTCATGTTCCCGGACTCCATTCTCATGAGCCTTGCAGTGATCTTAGTCTGATTGAGTCCCACTCACTCCTCCAGAACCCCCAGAGATCGGCCCCCTCCATCAACACACACACAAATACACATACACTCAGACACATGCACAAACGATTTTTGATGAGCACGACAAATATTGAGAAAGCATTCATCTGTAAGGCGGTGCTGCAGCCCCCCCTCTGAGATCACTCGACAGAGCACCTCAAAATACATATAGAGGAGAAGGAGAGGGGGAGTGAGAGGGATAGATACCCCCCACCCTGCAGAGCCTCCTCTGATCCAGACGTGTCCTGTCTTTTGAAGCCAACAGCTTAGAAATGCAGAAAAGAATGAAAAAAACACCACACAATCTCAGAGGAGCAGCGAGAGAGGCCTGCTGTGAGCACTGTATCTCTCTGACTCCGTCTCTTGTAGCCAAGACATAAGAGCGAGAACTCCATATCTGCTCTGACATTAATGCTATAGATACAACGAGGCTGCTTTCAGACTGGAGCAGAGCCGTCGCTATTACAAGATAAGGTGCGGGAGCATCCAGGGGTAGCAGCGTGGATTCTTGGGAAAGACAATATTGTCTATTCTGGAAAAGAAAATTTGATTTGCAGGATGAGCGATCAATTCATGGATACTGTGGAAGAAGTTTTAAACACAGCTTGAAAACATTCTCTATTTCATGAATGTGCCACCGGTGGGAAATTACAACATTCAATCTAATTTATTACGGGTACAATTTTAAGTGACTTGTGCTTGAGTATTTCCATTTTCAGTATTATCACCTCAGCCAGGGTGGTTATATTTTCACTCGTCTGTTTGTTGATTATACAAAAACTACTGAAAGATTTCCACGAAACCACAAAAGGACGTGTGTTTTGTGACAGTGTTTTGTGACAGCTTGATTGAATTTAAGGGGACTTTTTACTATACTATAAATATGTTACTGTTGCAGTAAGTAGTTCATTTTCAGGCTTGGATCTTCCTTGACATGGTAAGTTCTTAAAATATGCAGCATTTCTTAATAGGTTATAATAGTGTAAGTGTAAGAAATATATTTAATATGTGAATGTAGTCAGTCATAGAGGTCTTTTTATGAAGAGCGTACTTCCACTGTTATTTTAGTGTTTGAAGTTAAGGATTTGACTACTTCTTCCACCACTGTGAGCCATTTGTTGAAGTTATTAAATGTTGATTGGTCGTATGAGATCTCAAATGTACATCACACATCGTGCTATCAAGCAGTTAGCCTGTCTCCCTTCTACCATAAAGTCAGTGGATGAGTTAATGTCATGAGTTTCTCTGTAGCTCAGGAGAGCAGTACAATACATATGGCACCATCTATTTTATTAGACGTCAGGGAAACACGTCCTGTTTCACTTTTCATTTATCATCATGTGAAGTTGTCAACAAATATTAAAAGCCGTCACAGAGCTCCCACTGTAACATACGTTTCTCAGCAATCCGGTTACAAAGGAGCCACAGTCTTGACAAACTATATTTGGCAATATTAACATCACTACGCCGCCTGAAGAGAGTTTGATAAGAGCCATTTACGCCTGTGACATTTCTCATTTTCCTCATGGCTGAGCTTCTCGAGCTCGGCCAGAACAGAGCAGTAAGTCTCCCACCTATTAACCTGTTCTTTCATTTGTCACATCTTCCCTTGTTTATTTTTCACCTTGGGTCATATTATGTTTTTAAAATATTACCAAAACTGAGGAGCAAGAGGGAAAACCATTTTCTGTTGCAAGACGGGTTATATTAGAATACATGAGGGAGTTGTAAATGATCTGTATTTATAGACACTAGGCCCCTCAAAGTGTTTTACAGTACAAGTTGCCATTCACTCACACACATTCACACAGTGCATCTATGTGCAGCACTTCCTCCATCATCAATCACACACACACTGGAGACATTTGGATAGTTAGTTAACTTCAGCATGCAGAATAAGGGAGACTGGGATTAAACCGCTGACCTTCTGGTTAGTGGACGACCCGCTCTATCTCATGAGCCACAGCCGCAAGGGTCAAGCTATTTTGTAAGTGGATGTGAAAGTAGAAATGATTGTGTGCCTGTAGTAAAGAAGCTCAACATGGACATTGGAACAAGTTTTTCTTCTAGAGCTGATTTACAAAACATTTGATTCAGTGTCTGACAGTGAGGGTATAGGGGTTTGCATGTTTCATGTTTATGGAAAGTTTTAAAAGAGAAACTGTTAAAGACTACACGATGATGATGCACACTGAAGCACACTATAGATTTAATGCTGGTCTTAAAGCACACACACACACACACTCATACACTCTCAGACATGCAAAATCTGTGCAGCGGACCAAACACACATGTTCATGTTATCTGTTTTCCTCTCTCTCTCTCTCTCTCTCTCTCTCTCTCACTATCGTACACTCACCAAATCGATGGGCAACTCACAGGCAATCAGATGCCATTATTTGTGAAGTTCCACTTCAGTTCACATGAGTTGATAAAGGAGGCTGCTATTGATTCAGCGGCCCTGAAGGAGAGAGCAATTTAAGCGGCCGATGGGGCATAAAACAAACTGGATCACAGGAAAAAGCGGAGCCATGGAGGGAGGACAGGGGGACATGTTTTTTTTTTTTTTAACAGAGGAGAGAAGGATGAACAATACTAAAGCTCAAGTGTCATATTTCACATTCATCCTAATGCGTTTAATCAGCATTGAGTTGATATGATTGTGGCTGCGCGATACTTGTGGCTTCTACCTTTCTTCATTTTAAGCTCCATGGTGCCAAAAGAAAAATTCTACAGCGTGGAACGATGGTATGTAAATGGAGAGGAAGACACTGGAGTTAGAACAAACAAGTCAACTGGCTTGATGAATGATGTAAGTTTGCTGATGTGGGGGCTCTTCATTAATATTCATTACGCTCTGATGTACACAGCAGTCAACTGATGAGCCATTTTCAAGATAACACAAACACTGAGAGTGTTTGTGTGTTTGAGTAAGATTAGAGGGGATGGGGGCGGGGAGAGAGAGAGAGAGAGAGAGAGAGAGAGAGAGAGAGAGAGAGAGATATGTGGCAACACAAATAGAGAACTGAGGAAACGCAGACGGGACAGAGTTGCTGTGCTAAAAATGACCCTTACTTTTTTATATTCCTGCCATGAGTTGGTCCAGGTCCAGTAGTGCGCTTTATACTGTCCAAGCCTCACAGCCATCAGCTCGTCACCACGGTAATAGAAGATTGGCCTGTTGAGGATGAGAGGAGGGAGATGCTGAGATATGTTTCTTCCAAAGTGACCACAGGAGCAAATGTATGTACAAAATTATTTTTGATGCTTCACTCAGAACCAAAATTTACCACCTGACCTAGAGGTTAATCAGTTCATCAAATTTTTCTGGAATTCAGCTTATGTCTGAAAACAGCTTCAGTTAAGAGCTGTGCCTTGTTTACCTCTACATACGGACATAACATATCAAGTGTTTTTTGAAATGAAGGGGATATTGGTCCCTAACTATAGGCCACAAACACTACAAATCCAAAATCCTGGAACAGTCATTGCATGTACGCACCTGTTATCAAGTGTGTGGGAGCGGCTGAGCAGGACCGGTGTCAGGTCCAGTCCGTCCAGGGTTCTGTCATCAGGAGGGCTAATGCCGGCCAGACTCAGACTGGTGATGAACAGGTCCATCACACTGGCCAACTGGAAGTTCACCTGCACAAAGACAAAGAAAATACAAGCACTGCCTGAAGTATGAGACGCACATAGAGTACAATTCACACAATTAGCAAGTTAGAATTGGAGACAGTGAATAAAAGTCAAATTGGTTGTCACATGCAAGTTAATGGCAAAGGTACAGTTCCTATTTAACGTCAAAAATATGTCTCCATCTCTTGTTCATGATGATTTTGCTTTTTGTTGGACAAATCAAGAATTAACTGTTGTACGCTGGAGGACGACAAGCTTCCTCTTTCTCGCTGAATTTTTTTCTTCATGAACAAGAAAGGTAATAACGCATGGTCACGATAGGATGTTTGCCTGTGTGGTTGTGTGCACACATGCAGGATACAGATGCATTTCACCAGTCTCCTCTCTAATCTCTGCTTGCAGGTTTATTATACAACCTCCAAAAATGCCTCTCTGTCTGAATGAGGATTTTTTTTGGTGGGGGGAGGAAAGGAAAAGAAGGAGAGGAAGTAAGGAGAGGACAGGGCCCGGGCGAGCAGGCGGCTGCAGCAAGCTGGTGTTTTATCTCCTTCTCCCAGTCCCAGTGAAAAGCTTTATTTTATTTATAAACTTTGAACTATTTTCAGATAAAATGCCATTTTTTCGCTGTCATCCTTGATCTTCCATTCCATTCTCTCCTGAGCGAGCCTTAGAGGGCGACGGCACGCTCACAATCAGATAGCGCTATCAGGCCTCTGCAGCTGCACCGCCGTGTGCCGCTGTGCTCCTATCGGCAGCCAGCACACATGCAGACACAGGCGCACACACACACACACTCACACACACACACGAGCTCCAAAGCACTGAAATGAATTCCCTTTTCTTCTGTATCCACAGAACTAGCCACAGAAAAGGCTCCGCAACGCATTCCATGATCTATCTGCACATCCAGACACTCTCCCTCACACACATACACCAACAGGAACAGATTTAGTCCCTCACTTCATTTTTTTTTTAAGTCTGCCTCAGACAGACACACATGAACCATTAAAGAAGACAGGACAAAAGGACACAAGAAGCAAAACTGACATTTACTTGTTAACAACTTGCAACACCAAAAACCAAACCTTTCAAGCTCTATCGCTCCTTTATTAGCTCTGCACTGTTTTTGCAGTCCACACTGAACTTCATTGTTTCTTCACCCTTTGTTCTTCTCCTTTTTTGTCTGACTCATCACTCTCTATTAAAGTCAGGGACCTTCTCCCTCTCTTTCTCTCATTCCTTCCCGTGCAGTGAGTGGTGATGCTGGTTATCTGAGGAGGCAGTGCTTCTATCCCTGTCTCTCCCTGTCTGTAGCCAGATAAAACACAACAAAAGGGATTGTGACACTCGACAGCATTGCGGGGCCGACACCCCACCCACCTCCGCGTCTTTGTTCCTGTATACAGCCACCACCCGCTCATCATCCAGGCTCCTCGCACCCCTCGGGCACTGGAAGAATGCTGAATGTGCACCTGTGCTCAGACCACCCGCGCTCCTTCATTCCAGCACACAGATCTCCATCCTCCTGAATATGAGTGGATGATGAACCAGTTTCCTACACACTCACACAAGTCAGGTAAATGACACACAGAGGCATCCACAGAAAAAGGGCATTTCCCTTTTTAAGATGTAAAGTGTTTTTTCCATCACCGAAGCAGCACCCCCCCAAAAAAACTCTCCTCCTCATCTTAATACTATAAAGATTGGTCTGTGCTCAGCTGCTACAATAAACCTGCTTAACAAAGGCTTGCATGGCTGTTTGTTGTCTCCATTATTTTGCTCCCAGGGCTTATGGACTTTTCAATGCACTGATCAACAGAGATTTCAAAATAAGAGGCTGGAGGGGGGTAACCCTGCGTCTGGTCTGTCGTCCCTCCCATGCAGCACAAGAGTGGTGGATCCAGAGCTGCAGAGTACAGTAGCTCGAACAAAGCCGCTTTGTCATCACAACCCAAGAGAGCTTCAGGGAGGATCTATGTCGACCCTTGTCCTCACAGCCAAGCCACAACTGCAAATCCAAACTCTTAACATTGGGCTTTTGTGCCGTCCTGCATCTGTTTTATTTCCAAATGTTGATTCTAGAAAGTTATACAAGTAATCCCACACCACATTTAAAACTATGCCTACATGTAGGACGTTCAGCACATGCATAAATAGACACACTGGCTGGTTATATTGTGGCACAGGTGCAGCAAAGCCCTGCAAACACGACAATGTCCCTGGCTGCGCGGCACTGCCAGCATCTTTAGCACTCATCTTCCTTTTCCCTTTTCTACACCAGTCGCCTCTTTTACTTCTTCCTTGCTTCCTTCCCTGCACCAAACCCCCACCCCTCCACTCCTCCTGTTCCTTTATCCTGAGCGCCTGGCATATTCAGATACTGAAGTCCTCATTACAGCTCAATCCAACCTAAGCAAACACACAAACAGATTAGCCGCTTAAGACGCTCCCAATCCCCCTCTCCCGCGCTATTCTGCTGCGCTATCAGGCCCCAGCACACCCCTGTGAGATGAGCCAGGGGCAAGGCTTACTGCAGACTGCAGCCTCCGCTCGCTCCTCCACCAAATCCCTCTGCGTCACAGCCCCGTGTCACAGCTGCCCCTAATACAATTAAAAGTCATTTGCAGAACGCACAGGCTTAGGGGATCACGGTGTGGGTGGGGGGTTAAATTGGGGAGGGGGAGGGAATAAGAAGAGAGTGAGAGAGAGAGTTGGGGCATTAATTCGGGCCCAAAAATATTTAAGGAAACGTTGGGGGAAAGAAAAGTGCCCACACGGTTTGAGGCCGAAATCACAAAGTCTATCGTCTGGAGATAGAAATTACATACTGCACCAGTTGAAGGGTCAGAATGTGCACACGCAAAGAGGTAAATGATACACAAATGACATAAAAAGCAACAATCATTCAAAAGAGGGGATTAGTAGAATAATTATTCCATTATTCTCAGCCTAATTCACAGTGCTGTACGTCGCCCACAGCCCTACAGAGAATATTTCAGCTCCTGGTACCTGTTGATAGAAGAACCTGACGGAGCAACAAGACTGAGAATAAAAACAACTGGCTCTGCATCCAGGGTCTAACAGGTCCAGCCTCAAGAGGAGATGGTGGGGGTTTGTGAATGTCTTGCAAAAAGCTTGAGGTATTCTTACCGTGCCTGCTTTAATGTAACCAGGCCACCAGGCAATGGCAGGCTCCCTCATGCCCCCCTCAAAAGTGGTCTGCTTCCCACAGAGGAACGGCCCGTTGCTGCCACCTGAGGATTCAGCAGCAGCATCAGTGTAAAAGAACACACACACATTCACGGCGGATTTAGACAAATATTTTACTTGCAGGTTTTTCCACAGACTCATGTAAGGTCAGAAAGTCAAAAGTCTTAGGGACAACTGGTCAAACTGTGAAAGAAGGCAGACTTGAAATATCATTTTCAAGAAAAACATGTTTTGTGAGCCCACCGGGAGCTTGACCTTTGACCACCCAAATCAAATCAGTTCATCTGTGAGTCTAAATCAACATTTGTGCCAAATCTAAAAGAATTCCCCTGAGGCGTTCGTGAGATAATGCATTTACAAAAGAAAATGTCATCTTTGAGTCCAACTGAACATTTGTAGCAAATTTGAAGAAATTCCCTCAAGGTGCTTTGTGAGATGTTGTGTTCAAATGACCAAACACGGGTTTTGTAAGGTCACAGAGACTTTGAGCTTTTGAAATCAACAAATTGAAATCAGCTCATCCACAAGTCCAAGTGAACGTTTGTACAGTATTTCAAGAAGTTTCCTTCCTTGTGATCACTTAGTCCAAACCAATCGAGAACCTGAAAACCTAATTCCTCCAGCCACTGGCTGTCATCAGCACAGAGCCAGAAAAATGTATTTGTGTGTGTTAACCTACCTTCATCTGGGGCGGATATAAGAGCGGCTCCGTTGTCTGAAGTGAAGAAGACTAACGTGTTATTGTCGATGCCCAGAGTCCGCAGCCTTGACAAGATCTGACCGACGCTGTAGTCCAGCTCCATCACCACATCTCCATACCTACAGCACACAGCCAATCACAGATGAGGGCATTTACCATAAGATATTCATGTACAACCTCATGCCTCTGCTGCACTGTGTGTCAGTGAGGTAGGATATACAAACCGGCCTCGCTGGCTCTTCCCTAGGAATTGTCTGGAGGCGTAGACAGGGGCGTGAGTGGCGTCAGGTGCCCAGTAGAGGAAGAAGGGCCGTCCAGCCTCAGCCTGACGGACTATGAAGTCAAGACCTTCCTGTAGAGAAGGGAGGTGTGAGAGAGCGTTACAACACTGTCAATACAGGTGTCAAACAACTTGTCACAGAATTGCTGTAAATCTGTATAAAGTAAATAACCCCTTTCTCACTTGAATACTAATTCCATCCATATTTTGAGTGGGTGGTAAACTCAGCTGCCTGTTTCTTCAGGACATCGAATTCAACCTTATGATAATTTCAGTGGCTGCACTTTGTGGTGCTGTTTAACTGTACTGGTGTGCTGATATGATTTGTTCTAAGTCATTAGTATCAATAATAGTGGCCCAAATATAAGAAACACATCTTGGTTCCAGGTGTAGATAGTAGTAGATTAGCAAGTGGCATCTGGTTGTTCATCTATCTGGAAAAAATGAATTTCATAAACTAACAAATAGAAAATCAATTGACAGTCTATATGGGAATTATTCACTGAGAACAGTCCAGCTGACACAAACCTTACAGTTAGTGTGTTCTAACAGGGCAAAACTAATTTGAACAATCAGACATATTGTGAAATCTATTTATTTAAATGGGATAAACCCCTTCAGTTGCACCAACTCATTTCCGAGGGGGTCCCACATACGTATAATCTGACAACTTCTGCCTTTGCCACATTTTCCAATCAGCCACATTAATAACTGCATGACTAAAACAAGTCTTGTCTTATATTACAATGAGCTTCACAGAGCTGCACTCGACAGATCCATCCAGCGTCTTCTTGTGATGACACATTACACCTCTCGAGCACAGTGTGTCTCTGCGCGCTGCTTTTGATCCATTTCAGAAGAGAATGGAAGGGAATGACGTCAGCAGCAGAGATTATCAGCGTGAGTGTGAGTAAAAGTGAAAAATCCACTTGTGCTTGTGAAAAGAACAATTACAATTTTAATTTATTAATTAAATGTTGACATATAAGACAATGTGTGATTCTTGTGGACAATGGTTGTATTTATTGTATATTATTCTCCTTTATAAATTAATTTACAAAGGAAATTTAATAGAAAATTTGGTGTAGCTGATATACTCTGCTTCACTGAAGCACGGGTATTATCTGAGATCATAAACTGTGTATAAAGATGGACGACATGCTGCTCCACAAAAGTGAAGCCTGAGTGTCCCAATCGCCATCTGGTGGCGGGCTGCAGCAGAGGGCAAAGTTCACTTCAAATAAAATGTTCTCAAAGAGTTTCTGTCATTTTAGATAGTTCCCATCACACTAATGTCCAAATGCTGATGTTATTTTCCCCAGTAAGTTTGGTCCTCTTGGTTCTGATGGTTGAGTGTGTGTATCGACAGGACCTGGCTATCACAGGCTACATCCCCTGATTTCAACTGCACAGGTTGGCGGCATTCATATCCAGAATGTTTTATCTTTATTTATGGATAATTGGAATTATATATTCTATGTTTGAGATAGACGCATCCATGTAAAAAACAGATGAGCCTTTACTTACCATTAAATAGATCTGTGTGAGGTTGGACTCTCCAGTTTTTCTGTCAATCTTAAACTCCTCATAGTATCTGAAAAACAAGTGGTTTCATATGATTCATTAAATAAATCTACATCTGAATTCCTGGTAAGGCGAATCAGTGCTCTTTCTCCTCTCCTTAGTTTTTTTTTTTATTATCTGATTGCCTCTAAATTGACCAAAACCAATGTAGACAATATCATTTAGGCAATGGAAGCTAATTTCTCTGAGGCAGATTGTGTTTGTAGATGTTGGTGAAAGACATATTTGGGACGTCTCAGCAGAGCTGAGCAGAGGGAACTGTTATGAGGTGTTGCTGAAGCGTGGCACGACGAACACAGAAGCAGTGACAGGCCTCTCTCTTTTGTAACGCTTCACTTCCTCCAGGTGTCCTCGCACGCAGCCAACGCAACCTGCCGTCTCTTGAGGGCGTGTGTGTGTCTGGGTGTATACGTGTCTACGTTTGTGTGTATGTCTGTCCAGGGCCCAGGTATGCAGCGCTGATTAAACCCATGGCTAAGCGAAAAACACGCCCGGCTGCCAGTTCCAATGACCCTGAATACGCATATGGCTGTTTTGGGGAAAACAAATGGGCGGAAAATGGAATACACAAGCACAGCTGGTACAGAGGAGGAAGAGGAGGGGAGACAGTCAGCTCATCCAGAGGAACACACAGCCAAACTACTCCACTGAGTCATCGGGAGAGAAGATTTTTATAGATTTTCTTCTGTGTCTGCTGTCGTGTATCTGGCTGCATGTGTGGGATGCTACCTGCCGATCATCTCAGAATTGTTGTAGACGGGGATGTTGGGTCTGACACTGTTGTTGTAGGGGCCAAAGTGGCAGTTTGGTGCTCCGAACCATTCATCGAAACCATTTTCCAGAGGAAGGTACTGTGGTCTGTGGCCCAGATGCCTGTATTGAAAAATGAAGAGCACTCACTCACTGTGACGTCAGTGTGACTAAAGGACCATAATTCATGTTTTCACATTATTAAATTTAGACCAGTAAAACAAATCAAAAACACTTGTGCGACAACATCATTTTCAGAAGCACAATGTACTTATTTGGATTTCTTTTGCTGCAGTTACAACATTTAGGCCGTTGTTGGATTCCATCCATCTTAATAGAAACCTTGTACTTTTATACACATTTTAAATATGTTAATGAAATATGATGCATTGTCACAGATTAGGTGGGTGGCACAGTGTGGCTGTGACTGTCGCCTCACAGCAAAAAGTGTGTATGCTCCAAAAGATAATAGTGCATTACATATATGAGAGTTACCAATGCTTTGGAATTAAAATAAATGTATGTTTCAGTGAGGCTCGGCTGCACTCACAGGTTTAAATCCCTAATGTGAAGCTGCTACTTCTAAACTAAATTATCTGAATACTTCCTCCACCGCTGATTGAAACCTCCAGAAACCTCTAAAATCCTGGATTAAAGATGAGGAGCTCACCACTTTCCAACTATCTTGCTGACATAGCCCCTTTTCTTCAGCAAACGCGGTAACAAAATCTCCTCCTTAGAGATTCCTCCCACTATCTCCTGCGGTGTGTATGCTATAAACAAAGGCAAAAAAAAAATTAGTGTACAAACTTTCCATTACTTTGCTGCTCGTTATAAGTAATGAGAAAATGGAAAGAAATTATTTTCAGCTGGATAATCAGAACAGAAACGATGAGACGGTACCGTTTCTGGCGTGAGCATTAGTAGTGTAGAAACCGTTTCTGACAGGCAGCCGACCGGTGAGAAGCGAAGCTCTGGCTGTGGTTAAAAGGAAAAAAAGGTAATTGGGAAAACACTGATTAGAATTTCTGTGTTTTGTTCAGAGTTCTCTTTAACTGTCAAACAAATAAGAGTTGAAAATGCTCTTGCCCTGAAACAAACGCTAATTCAACAAATTGAACATTTATTCTTTGTTGTTGAAGTTAACAGAAATAAGAATCGTCCTGATATTCATCTCAGTTTTCATATGTACATTACGTACATGTTTTGGTTTTCTATATTTACCAAGACCAATAACCCTTTATCCCTGAGAAAACACATTTAAATACACAGCATCCGGATTTTTGTTTGGATCTGCATGAAGCTGCACAAACTCGTCTCTATCAACCCACTCAATGTCCCAATATGTCAGATTATTTTCATCAAGATTCACACATTTAATCAATTCATTAATTCATCAGGTGCCATTACATGATTTATTTATCTTAAAGTGGAGTAGAGACGTGAAGTATAGACGTGAAACAGAGACATGAAACAGAGACATGTGGTGCAGGTTGTGTTTTACCACACTTGTTGCTGACTCACATGGGGAACAGAGAGGGTTGGCGGTGTAGAAGTTTGGAAGCAGCATGCCCTGAGCTGCCATGGCATCCAGGTTGGGGGTCTCCTTAGAGGGCTGGCCCAACACCCCCAAGTCCCCCCAGCCCATCTGAAGACAACACACACACACACACACACACACACACACACACACACACACACACACACACACACACACACAATAAACACAGTGTGTTAATACAAGCATACAAGCAGGAAATACTACAAAACAACGCCAGGAAGAAAAAGATACAAACAGAGAGTTACTCACATCATCCATGAGCATGATGATGATGTTCGGGGGTGAAACATTTGCTGTCTGTTCTGTTAACGAGCAACAAATGAGCGCAGCGATCAGAGTCACAGTTAGAACAGACATCACCGACAGTCCTGCTGCTGCAGTCACGTGATCACCAGAATGAAGGAAGTGCTTCGTTTTCACAGTAATGTTTACACACGACGCAGAGCAGTGTTTGTTTTCAGACGACTGCTTCAATCGGTTTGGGTTTCTTTACTATTCATTTGATTTAACATCGTTGATTTGTCTTGTGTTGACAAATGATGCAGCGTCACGTGCTGAGCTGAAAAGAAACCGCTAAACTAGTCCTCAATCCGGGTGCATTCAGGGACTTTCTGCAAATTTTACACACAACATAAAAGTAAAGATAAAAGTAAAAATATGAATCATGTAGCAAACAATAAAAGTAGTTCCGATCATACATACTTGTATGATAAAAATCTCCTGATAAAAAAAACTCGAAATACACTTACATGTATAAAAACCCAAAATTAAAACTTTATGCTCGCAATTCCTACGTCTGTGAACGCAGCGTGTCACGTGACAGGCTGTGACAGCACAGAGGAGGAACACCAACATGGCGGTGTGCATAGCAGTGATAGCTAAAGAGGTAAGGGTCGTTTTTCATGTTAAATGTCAGATGTTTGATCCGCATACTGTTTTTTTTACGTTACACATGTTTGGAACCTTCTTACAATCTTCTCTGAATCAACTGTCAGTTTCTCGTCAGAGACGGAAGAAGCCCCGCAGTGTTAAAAACGCACCAACAACAGAGCTAACAGCGTTAGCATAGTTTGAGGAGCCGCTGCTGCAGTTTAGTGTTTATGGTGGATTTGTGCAGGTGGTTTAAAGGACGTGGTGCTTTGAACGTGTATTTATTGTGTTTCTGTACTTCGTCCTGTGTCGTTTCTCCAGAACTACCCGCTGTACATCCGCAGTGTGCCCACCCAGAATGAGCTGAAGTTCCACTACACAGTGCACACCTCTCTGGATGTGGTGGAGGAGAAGATCTCAGCTGTGGGCAAGTCTCTGGGGGACCAGAGGGAGCTGTACCTGGGTATGCTGTACCCCACCGAAGACTACAAAGTGTATCCTCTGTTTGAATGTAGTTAGTTACTACTAGTGCTTATCGTTTAATAAGATCATCTTTGCTCAAGTGGAGATCACACATGACTCATGAAAGTCAAATAAATGTATTTCAGTCACCTAAATGAAACCACTCAAAGTGCTTTACAGGACAGTTCATTGCCATTCACACACATATTCACACAATGCATCTATGGGCAGCACTTTTTCTATAGGTTCAGTATCTTGCCCAAGGACACTTCAGCATGCAGGTGGGTAGGACTGGGATAAAACTGCTGACCTTCTGGTCAGGACGACCCCCTCAGCCACAGGGAACATGTACAACTAAACCATGTAACCCAGAGAGGAGAGAGACTGACTGCCTATACACATAACCATATAGTTATGTTATGTAGCCAGTCCCCCTACTTGTATGCAGTTTTGTAGATTCAACATTTATTTTTATTTTTGTGTAATCCCTAAAAGAAAATGTTCCTTGACTGGTTAAATAGATATGGATATGTAACAAACTCCAAGGTGAAGTTTGTTATCGTTGTGGACTCATCAAATACATCATTGCGGGACAATGAAATAAGAAGTGTACGTTGACTCCATCAAGCACCACACAAGTTTAAACTCAGATAAGTTGTAATGTATTGCTTATCTAGTTATACAATAGGCCTACATATGTAAGCGCTGTATATAACACTACATGCCCTAGGTCTGATATTTACCTGCTGATGTGAATTCTCATTGATACATTATTGTAAATAGATTTCAACTTCAATAAATAGCTTGTGTTCTTTTTCATTACAATCATTAGGGCAGCCTGAATTTATTTTGAGCATGTATATCCACAGAACTTCTGACCACAATACAATTCATGTTAATTTCTTAGTGTAGTAATTTATGCTGTCAGTTTAAAGCAGTTGAATGAACATTCATCTAATAGAAAACAATTGGTTTATTCTGGTTTAGAGTAATTCAGTGGCACAATTGTTCTTTTCCAGATGTTCAGAAAATTGCACAACTCTTTTACCGATGTAATGTGCAACCCGTTCCACAATCCTGGGGACACCATTCAGTCCAGGTGAGTTTTTTCTTACGACCTGTTAATGTTATGTGTTTATTTTAAATATTTCTAATTCCTATTTGAGAAATGTTTTAACTGTTCACTGTTCTTCAGGACCTTCGATGGAATTGTTTCAGGAATGATGGTGCAAACTGGCTGATGTCCCTTCCAACCTCTTCTGCTCAGCCACCTCTGTACATTATACCCCCCCTCTTTTGTTTACGTGTTGCCTTGAAATATATAACTATATTAAATTTTGTTGTTGCACATCACCACATGTGTTTCATTTTACCACAAGTGGAGCAACAGTTCATTATTTTATTTATTCACTTACATAGCAAAAGAAACAGTTATACATAGGGAGGCTTTTTACATTACATTGCAGGCAGCGACACAAAACATTCAGTTTATAAAAACATTGAGATGCAACTGCATAACGATTTGAGGATTGTCCATGCATTCGCAGCAACTTAAGCTTATATGCAACATTGCTGATCCCAGGTTTTCATTCTCCACATCTGAAGTAACTGAAGACTGATGCAGGGGTTGAAAAGTCATTCTTGCTGTCCATTCTGTGCCTGTCACATAATATTCAACTCAGTAATGCCTGGAAATATTTGTCAAAATGATCATTTCTATACACCCACTTGGGATGTAGGGTGTGGGTGGTGTTAGCGCTGCTGGGGGTAGTGTTGTCCACTCGACCCTTCCCCTAACTCCTCAGATGGTGGAGTGATAAGTAGAAGACATGGATAACGTTTAGGCATCTGTTCATGGTAGTCCATGTGTCCCCACTGTCTCTTCCCCACTGAAGGGCCTCCGTAATAGGGATGGGGCGTTTGATGTTGTGGCCTGGTTGACTGGTACCGGAACCTGCCTCGTGAGCTGTTGTGATATCTGGGGGGACGGTAACCTCTTCCTCTTCCTCTGGTGTGGCCTCCTCTGTGTCCTCCCCTGTCTGTGGTGCTGATGCCTGGCATATTGGTCCTCTTCGGCATTACCTGTGAGCCAAAGGAAACATGTTTCAGTTTGGGTTGACTTGTTCGTTTCAGAAGACTTGCTATTCGACAGCAATTGAACTGAATGCTATGATTGGAACTGATATTTAGATTTATCTTATTGTAGTTGGGATGGGTTTTTATTATAGTTATTATAGTTTAGTTATGCAAGTTTGTTAAGTTTTGCACTCATTGATATTTGTGTATTTCAACTGAGTATACTTAAATCATGTAGTGTGATGCACCTCACCTTAAGGACTCTTCCTCTGAACAAGGTCTCATGCAAACCAATGGCACTCTGCACAGAGTCTTGATCAGAGAACTCAATGTAGGCAAAGCTGAGAAAGAGAGAAGAGAGAAGACAAACAACAATTAAACTTGGATGTCAATACTTTAAGATGTATTCCACGGTAGCACAAGTATTAAAAAAACTGCACAAGTTGAACCTACCCCTTGGGATGGCCGGAGAAGCGGTCACACAGGATGGTAACTCGGTTCACAGGCCCACAGCCGTTGAAATGGATCTCTAACTCATCCGCAGTAGCTCCATAGTCTACCTGGGATTTGTTCAACAGTGTGTCAGATCACAGTTCTGTCAAACCATGAGCAGTATGACATAGGATGTACATGTCTTACATTTCCTACATAGACTGATCTGTTGTCCGCGTCTATCCTTTCCTCAGGAGTCATGTTGTAGAAAGGTCCTGTGGACGAAACAAAAACTAATGTATGCACCGCTTGCAGTACATGAACAAGAAGCATACAACTACTCCAGGTGAAATAAACAGTGATTACTTTTACCAGCATTTCCGTTTCTTATGTCATCAATGACAACACAAATCAGAATATCCTCTGGTTGTATTTCTGTTGTGAGGAGGAACCAAAAAGAGGAAGCGAAGGGTGAAATGGATATGGAGACGCACACAGGCAGAAAATAGCCCCGGGCAGCAAGGAGGACCCTTCTGCTTCTCTGGGGCTCACTGCTTCGTCTCATTGGGCAGTGATGAGGCACTTGTGAGCGCTGTTTTGACCAGAGTGAAGTGCCCCAGGTGTTCTCCAGATGGTGAACGACGCGGTTACCTCACCTGCCTGGAGGCTGCGTTGCTACACACCTGGCTAAACATATGACAAGGCTTCCCAAATTCAGAGCCAGTGTTTAGCTGTGCACCAAACAAACAAACCGTGAGATGATTAAGACTCTACCGGCTGTCTCACCAGGCCGAGGGCTGCTGGTCAGTAGCTGCATCTCTGGTGCATCACACCTCTCCTCCTCCTTCAGTCTCTCCGTCTCTTCCTCCATCTCCAGCTCCTGAACCCTGGCCTTGATGGCCGCCAGCTCCTGAGAGACAAGAATGTAAACAAGCACTTAAAGCCACTGTGGTACACCGAAGTGATGCACTGAAAAGCTGCAGATGGGTGACAAATTAAAGGAAGAACCTGAGTGAGTACAGAAAAATTCATGCTTCTGCATTGAAACTACGCTGTAGACATGTACCCTACGCAGAGCCCTGCACTGAACCCTGACATGCATCTACCCAAAATGTAACTACGTGTCAATGCTTGGTCTGAAAGACTTGCCGCCATTATTGAATTGAGTTGAAGGAAACGAACAAGGACTTCTTTCCTTTCTTTGTTGCTGTTCTTTAAGTGTTTATTTAATGAATGAATTAAGTGCATTTTGTCAGATTACTTGAACTGGCAGGCTAAAGTGTCCCAGAGTAAAACAAAGTATTTTCTGGTATTGCACTGCAAGTATTTGGCACTGTGTTAACTATTTACAACACGTATTGTCAAATTGATGAAAATGTTTGCATGTTTCATCCATTGGCACGTTTACTTATCTTGTAGTGTGTCGGGCTCTCTGGGCCACCGTACATTTGCCTTTTTTTGACTGCATTGAGAAAGATCATCATTATCTGAATGAAATACTTCTAAATGCATGAGAGTTGTTTGAGTGAAAAATATTAGTGCATCTGTCATGATGTCCGGCCATACGAGGGTCACAGCCACTACCCACATGGAGGTGGTCTGGGATTTCCGGGTAAGATATGGGAGACACGGTTTTTTTTAGCATCTGTTATTTCAAAGCCTTCACTGCACAAGATAGAAACCATCATCCCACTACGACTTCACCCTGGAAATGCGGACATCCAGAGCACCTGACTGGCTCCATGACGACCCTTCCTCCCGGCGTGCGGTGCGGGATGTGTCTCACTGATGTCTGCTCACATTGTGATGTAACGACACCACATTGTGCGCGGACATGACGGTCCTCTCCTCTCTCTGCTCCTCGGACACACGCGTTTAAAAACACACACACGGGCGATCCGCCACCTGCACATCCTCCTCCGACACGCAGATACTCACGGGGTCCTCGGTGTAATGCTCCTCGATGGACTCGCCCTCCTCCAGGTAGCCGTACTCCAGATGATTTTCCGCCATGCTCACTGCTCAAACATGGCATCTGCGAGGAAGGACCGCAGCTCGCCACCGACCACCGGAAATATGTCCTGCGGGGAAGAAACTGTCCCGGCGACGCGGCACCTGATCACGCACAGATAATAGACATCACCTGTGTGTGCGTGTCATGACGCGCCGCTTTGATTGACAGGCGGAGAGCACGTGAGACACGCCGGAGGAGGGTGCCGCTCTCCCAGTGGCGCATCAGAGGCACCAGCGTTCCTGGGTGCCCCCCGTCCTAACCCCTCTGTGGCCGGTACCCCACCCTGCCTTAGGAGCAGGACTGAGTTGGTGATTATAGAAAAAACCTTGCTGCAAAAATCTTAACCAAAGACAAACCTAAAGAAGAAAGTTGTAGCTTTTGGATGTATTTTGGTCATTTAAAAGTAGTCTCTTGGAATTTTGTGTTGTGGTTTGATGGAACTAATGGGGTTGGCTTTGTTGAGTTGTTTTCTGAGGGCTTACTTGCAGACAACGAGGCACATGCAAAGCAGTTAAGTGAGTTGAATGGAACTGTCATTAAAGGGTGATGCAATGATATCGCGTGTGAATCCTGGTGTTTGACTCAACAGAGCTGTTGCAAATCGATCTGCCAAGAGAGTCTGTCTGGGATATGTTTCATTAAAGCTCTGAAGGTTTCAAGTAGTTTGTACAGAGAGACAAATCCTGTTCATTAACTTTTAAATTTCTTAATGGACTGGCACTGCCTTGCCTAGCTGAACTACTTCATGTTCGCAGTTAGAGAGCTGAGAGCAGCCACTCAGCTGCTCCTGGATTTGCCCAAACGAGGCTCATAACCAGAGGCGGCCGAGCCTTTGCAAACAGCACTCCATGTTAGAGCTGCCCCCTCTCTTGAATGCTTCAGAATCATTCACATCACATATCTTCTCGTTGGCCTTCTTTTCAAGTTTTTATCAGAGCAGATTTTATTTTGTTTTATTCTCATTACTATTTTTGACATATTCCGTATTGCTGTTTTCTTGTTGTACCTTTTACTTTGAAAAGCACTTTGGTCAACCAAGTTGTTTGCATGTGCGATATAAATAAAGTTTACATCGACATTGACTTCAGAAATGTAGTTGATGGTGAAAAATCTTCTGCACAGATGTTTGAGGAAAGATGGCTAAATTTCTAATTGCTGTTCATGTTGAAAAATAGAATAATATATTTTTTTGTTTTTACTCAAATACATGAGTAATGACATAGTTTTGTCAACACAGAAGATTCTTGATCCAACAAACATGAGAACAGTCAAACCAAAATGCTTTACAATTAACATGAAGACACAGAAATACATAAATAAATAAAAGTAGAAATACAAGAATAAATTAATGTAAGAATGTAAAAATGCAGAAATAAATGAATAGATACAGAAATAGGAGCCCGACACGAAGAAGACACAGACAAAGATGTCAATTTGAAAAGACGACAAGATTGGAGAGATTTAGGTAATCAAAGTGTAAAGAGTGCTAAACCAACAATGCATGCTAAAATGGCCAGGGCTTATATAACTCACTGCAGATTAGGTAACAACAGCTTGGAGGTATTAAAGGATTATTTTGCTGGTTGGTAATGCAGAATTTGCTTTTGTAAGTTTGTCATATTATGTGATATTATAGCCAACATCAGTTAAAAACATAAAATGAATCCAAGTGCTATCTATCCAAGTGCTAGTGAGTTTTATAGCTACCAGATAACATTCCAACAATTCAAATGTAAGCCAGGTGGCAAAATGCTTGATGTACACTAATGTCAGCTGACAATTAGCTATATAGGCTAGCATTGTCAGAATTAGATAATATTTCAGACTCTGTCTAATTAAGCCCTCTTTTGGGGACATCTCCAGTTCCTTTGGTTCACAATGTCTCTTATCAGCAAGATGCTAATTAGCAAGCTAATTTGTCTTTGCAGACTAATGCTATCTTGCAACCTTTGATTTTATAGTAGTGTATTCATTTTCATTTGCATTAATGCTGTGTATGCTTCCGTTTACATAACTTAAGCTATTTGTTTGAACTTAAAACAACTTAAAACCATTTAAAAAGAATAATACACTCTATTTTAAGTAGTGTTCTGCTCATTTAGACCAGGAAATCTCTTCGGGCATCAATCTCACCACGAGAAGAAGAAGTTAACGATGCACAGTTGATTAAAATGAACACATTTCAGTGTGACACAGCCAGCATCAGCATAAAATCAGGACCGAGAAACTGTTTCCTGTGAAAAATACAATTTTTCTGTTATAATTATATTCAAAATATATTTAGGGAGATGTAGTGCAGATTCTGACTTCAGGCATTAAATTATGTAAAATCTGAAACCACAGGAAAAAAGAAAGAGTTCACTGTGTGAAGTTTATTCACTCAGCGAGTTTTCCTCTTTTATCTCCCCCTCAAACTAAAAGGATACAATAATCATATTATTCCATTACATCTCACAGTATATACTATTCTTTACGTCGCTATTTAAGCTAAGATGTTTATACTCAGGAAGAATTTATCAAAACATGCAACAGTTTAATGGCTGCAACATTCTTTCAAATGGGAATATTATAGATACTTTGGTTCAGAAGGAGATTTGTGTATCGGATATTTTAAGCATCTCTCAATGTGTTAATACTCAACGTCAAAGACATAAACTTGTTTGTGAGCTCTAACGTATGATTAGTTGTTTTTTGAAGATTGAAGACTATGGGACTTTTAATGTTTTTGTTGTTCTGTAGAAATGAGAGAATTCAAATAATATGACTTTCAAGGTTCCCTTTTGTGTTGAACAGATCATTTTCCTTTTCTGAGGGTGTCATCTGCGACTACCTGAATTTAAAGAAGAAAAGCGACAAGGGTGATGAATACTTAATTTCATGTTTTAATTACACTGTTACATTGTTCAACACAGACAATAACCTGAATTAGAATGTTTTACAGCTTCACACATCCAACAGAGCGAACAGTTAAAGAGTGGTATTAGCAACAGGGAGGAAAGCATGCAAGAAATAAATACAAATCAGAATTTAATTCTTCTGGCACAGTTTACTTCATCTAAAAACGGCAACATGACTTTCTGAAGAGGAAAAAAAAACAAAAAAAGGAGAAATATCTTCAAAGCGCCAACCTTTCCTACAGAAACAGATTTTTCTGTAATAATGTATTGCACAATACAGTATAGAATGCTTCCCTACACATATAAAACCATAAACCTTTTTTCTGTTCATGTAAAGGTAAAAACAAGACCATCCTGAGCCATGGCTTTTAGGGAAACTAGTGCTGAATCCACTGTTATCTTTCTACTGTAGCTGTTCATCAGTGCCTGTTTCACAGGAAGGACGTGTCACCATCACATCAGATGAGCCTTGAAACTTCATTGGTAGAGTTAATGGTTCGGGTAGGGAGGGACGAATGCCAACCTGCTAATATTCGTCTTCTCTAAACATGCGTTTTGCCCAAATCATGTACATAGTTAAACAAACAGAAAAGTGGCTGATGTGAAGTGTTTGAAGACCCTTGGATGGTACGAAACAAAAGCAGAGCCCTTATGAGTTTGCCATCTAAAATATCTTCACAGAGAAACGTACATGACACCTCGGCACAGATCTCATTTGTTCCATGACTTAGTGAAGCTCACACCCAGCTGAGCGGAAAATCGAATGGATCTTTGTCGATATCGGAGTCAGGAGGGAGAATCTCAACGACAGATTTCTCTCTCCTCCCACTCACATTGGTGGGACATGACGTTCTCGAATGCTGGGACACGAGACAAAAATCTGAACCAAAGTGAAACCTAAAGAAGAAAGTTGTAGCTTTTGGTTGTATTTTGGTCATTTAAAATGGTCTACTGGGTTTGGTTTTGTTAAGTTTTTCTGAGGGCTTACTTGCAGACAAGGAGGCACATGCAAAGCTCTTAATTGAGTTGAATGGAACTGTCATTGAAGTGTTTGATGCGGATATTGTGTGTGAAACATGGTGTTTGACTGAACAAAGCTGTTGCTACATATTGCAAATTGATCTGCCAGGATAGTCTGTCTGGGATGTTTCATTAAAGCTCTGAAGGTTTCAAGTAGTTTGTACAGAGACACAAAGAAAAATGATTTTTTTTTTTTTTTTTACAAAAACACACACCACAATTCAAACACGCACACACACACACACACACACCCACCATGCATTCATTTTTATCTCTGCAAGGCTTTGTAACTGTAAGAACATGCAATCACAAGGCTTTTTCTAAAGGAGAGGCCTCTATTGTTTTTTACAGAAGCACTATTCAATATGTAGACAACAAGCGCTTTGATTGCTTGAATAGGAATTCTACACATTTCAAACTCAGCCGCTTCATTGAGCATGTTCCTTACTCTTGTGCTCCGAGTGTGTGTATTTCAGACACTTTGGTTAACTGCTGTAATGGAGGTCTAACCTTATTATTTATGGTCTGTCAATACACACACAGTGTCAAAGCCTACTATGGCAATGCAGAAGTACTTTGGTCTGTGCTTTTATTGGTTTTTGGATGACAAATGTACATGTCATGGTGGATTCTATGTGTCAGTTTGGTAATCTGCAGAAAATGTATTACTAAATTCCTGCAGCATCAGTTTGGTTAACGGGATGTCATCAAAAAGGTGATGTTTGGTGGGAGTAAATATTTTTTTTCCACATCTTGAGTAATGGCAGTTCCTTTCAACGCTCATTAACCGACAGATTATATGCAATTCCATGTCTGCGCTCAGCCCAGCTTTTTATTTCTAAGTCCAGGTCAACCTCTCCTGGTGGTTAGCTGTATGGTCACAGGAGGTAGCTAGTGTGAGAGGGGGTCGTGTAGAGTGGTCTGTGGGATAGTCGTGGAAGAAGTGGACGTTTGACAGAGGGGAGGGCCACACAAAAAGGCTGAGATTAACACCACATTACGGTAATTATGACACACACATACATTACAAAAATGCTACACACAGATGCAGGGGTACCTTGCAGCTTATCTGATTTGAATTATATGTATCACAGAGTCAAACATTTTTTGTTTTATCCATGTGTTGACAAATGAAAAGGAGAAACAACATTACCAATAGTTTTTTTCTAATTTGGTCCAAATGTGTATGAGGCCACATAAAGGCCTTGAGGCTGTCGGACATGTTAACAAGAGGGCGATCCGATTGCTGGAGCATGTGCGGAGGGCTGAAGAAAATAGCATAAACCTAAACCTCCCTTAACTTCAATCTCAAGTTTACATGCTCACGCTGCAAAAAAGAAGCAACATTGTAATGGTTGGGTATGGAAGTTAGCTATAAAGTTTACTGTAGCTTAACACTGGCATTTCAAACCTACACTGATGGTTTGCCCTGCACCTTGGGGGGAACACAAACACACATACACACCAGTTGACGAGAACCAAGAGAGAGGGTCACTTTGCGAAAAACAGAACGCTTGATATGATATATCAAGTTTGACAGTTCCTGCATTTGGTGCAATTATTGAAAATGAGACCTTTTTTTAAAATATTGACCAGACTGGGGTTTTCTAATTAAAAGCAGGATAAAACACACACAGTTCAGTCCCCTCCTGCAGGATGTAAACAGACCTGTGGTGGATGAAGCACATGACAATAGCTATTTAATCTAAATTAATGCAATGTTAGTGATACTCCTTTTGTGTCAGAGATTATCCTGATGTAATTTGGGTGATTTTCTTTTTTTTAAATTGTAAATTAAGGCCGATTATTCTAATAAAAAGTACAGGAAGTCCTGTTTTGCCTTGTCTTGTCCATCCACTCTAAATCTTTTTTCATCCATTTTCAGCAACATGCATCGTGGTCTTTTATGGAGCCACTCCAGGTGGTGTTACACTTTGTTTAGAGTGAAATTTGAAAGTGTTTAGCTTTAGAGACAGCGAAAAAAAAAAAGAAATTGATAAATTCGAGAAACAAATGAACTTTGAGAAAATCATATTCTGGACATTAAACTTTAAAGGTTTCTGTTATTTGGCAAACACATTTTTGGACCTCTTTAAATACTATGTACATTCACATTAAGTTACTGATGTTACTTTAAATATATTTATATGTATCTATATTATATGACACCCTATGGGCAGTTGCTGAGGTTCCATTCAGTAGCTGAATTCTCTTCATATTGCACCTCCGTCCTCTCACTGTCTTACAATGCGAGCAATACAAAATACTCTACAAGAGGGGGTTTCATCTCGTCAATATAGATACAAGAAATCAAACAATAAGTACAATGTGGGACTTCCTCTCGTAAACGAGTGTCCTCTGCTCTGACTTCACTGCTCAGCCCAAACTCAAAGGAGGAAAATGAAAAAGGTAAACGGAACTGAAACAAAGTCCATCTTTCTGGACACACACAAGGGCAGCACATGTGGACATCAGCGACAAGAGACATTATCAAAAAATGAAAAGAGGAACAATATCTACAAGCAGGTTTGAACTCTTCCCATGCGGCTGCTCGGAGGCTCCGTCCAAAGCAGGCTGTGTGGTTAGGGAGCAAACGAGAGTCAAGTAGTCGGGGAAGAGCATAGAAGGGAGGTGTGGGGCGAGGGGAGGTAGAAAGAGAGAGGATAAGTCTACACCACCCTTTTACTCGGCTCGTTCATCTGTTTATCATGCTTTGGAAAAGGAGGAAGCGAATGTAAAGGTAACAGCAATTCCTTTGAAATATCTCCTCGTTGTGGAGCTTTTAAAAAAAAACGATTTAGAAACAATCTTCCCATATGTCTCTGTAGTATGTCATGCCTTCTTTGAAAATGTTTTCAAGCTTGCTTTGAGGTTTTTGGCAGCTCCATTGCCGCGTATCATCTCCTTTGAGGCCGTGTAGCTTTTCCTGTCCTCTCTGTAACCATTCACAAAAAAATCACACTGTGGCAGGGTTTCTATGAAGTCTTTCTCTTGTAGGCAAGTTCACAGCATTGTCCATGTTCACTAGTCTGGTCCATCACTGAGGAATCACTGTCGTTTAGTCGAGGCTGCAGGAGGTGGCTGCAGATCAGACCAAGTCACAGTTTTGTTTTTGTTTTTTGTTTTTTTGTCTGTATCTCTGGGTCCCGCTCTGCAGCTTCTCTGCAGCCTGGTCCTCTCAGGGCTGGCTTATCTGCTGAGGAGGTGATGTTGCTTTGCGTTTGGTTATGAGTGCTTCTCCTTATCGCTTACTTACTCACTTTGGCAGTGTAATACAAAGGTTTGGATCAGGTTGTTTTTCATCTTTGAATTCATTTGGGTTCACAATGGTGCAGAGAGGTGAGTCCGGTGTAGATTTTCTTGGCTCGCTAGCAAGGTAGTTAGCAGTTTTAAAATTAATTTATTCTCATATCATTATTGTAATCATCAGCATCACTATTATTCTTTATTTAGAATATTTGGACTTTTCTTTATTTTTTCTTTAAAGCCAGAAAGAAACATTTAATAAATACTAAGCTGTGTTTCTGAGGAATTAATCGCATCACAGGTTTTTTTCCCCTTCCCATCATCCATTTGAAAAAAAGGTATTATGTTCCTTGCCTGTTTCCATTAGGACATTGTAGGAAAAGTGCCACATCAGTGAACTGTCTGGACTAGTAGTGCACATCTCAGTGCTGGGTTCTGTTCTCTCATTGGTACTTAATTAAAGGGAAATCCTACCCAAGTGCTAATCGGCTTAGTCATCCCCCTGTCGATGTTGCCTTACTGCAGCCCTTGTCTTGTGTCCGTACATGGACACTATTTTCCATGCTTACATTACATCAAAGTTCATGTTCTCAGCAAACACATCTGATATGTTTCTGTTACAGAGATAAGAGACACTGCACTATTCATGCTTTACACTACACTGAACCCCAGGCTGGAATCTTTGAATGTGGTTGTGAAAAAGAGAAAAAGTATTTTTGGGGGGAAGGTTACAAGTTGAGTCTGTTGTCAGGTAGTGAGAAGATTTTCAGAAGAGCTTAGAGGGAAATGTGGGAGGAGGAAAGGGATCGGTGTGCAATGAAGATTCCTCAGTTTGGTTTTTGTGTGGAGTGTGGGCACTGTCGCATCAGTATGCAGGGGAGGGACGAGGGTCAGGCGTCAGCGAGAGGTGGCGTCCAGGAGGGCGGGGGTGGCTGGAGTTGTGGAGCGAGAGGCACTGCTGGAACTGCTCTCCTTGGGGCTCGCAGAGACGCTTCCGCCGCCGCTGCCTGGCCCTCCTGCAATACTGCTCTGGCCTGCCAGGGACAGGGATCCTGGCGGGGTGCTCTCCGAGTGGGTGGGGGGCGCACCGGAGGATGCCGAGGAGGAGGAGGGAGTGCCGAGGGGGACACTGCTGCCCCCTGGCAGTCCCTGCAGGCCTTGACCACAGACGTGGTGGTGCTTCTCCCAGTCTTTGTGTTGGCAGAAGGAGCCGCAGTAGCGAGCCGTGTTGCAGCCGCTGCACGTCTCACTGGCTTTTCTCCCGCAATTCCAGCAGCTCTGTTGAGACAGTGGGGAGAGAGTGGGTTGATAAAAATAAGTCTCTTTCTTATCCCAGGGTATCAGCAAGCTTTTTCTCTCATACACAACACGTACTAATGTTGAACCATAAATAAATCATGTTTCTAAACTAGTTTCTTTGACCGATCCTTATTTTTTTCTGTTACTCTCTGATAGGGCTTTAATTTTAAAGCTGTGAGAGCTGCACCAGCACCACTGGTTAGAGTTACCAGCAGGTGGTGGTCAACTGCTCTGTAATGGCCTCGGCCTGGCACTCTGCTCCAGCCATCTGGGTCCGTCTGCTTCTATTTACACAGACAACTGGACTGCTTCTGCTATAATGATGACAACCTGGTGCTGCACCAAACCAAGAGCAGCCAGCTGTGTGGATTACACAACACAAGATAGCCTAGATAGGTAGAACAGTCACAGAGAGAGGAATTGAAAAACAAAAGGAGAAATTGTGAGAAGAGGAAGTCTGTGATACTCACTTCACTGGAGTCCTCCTGTTGGTTGATGACTGTGAGTGCATCCTCAGAGGCTTGCCTCTTGGCCTCGGCCAGCGCCCTCTCCATTTTAGAACGCTCGGCTGAAATCATCTCATGAGCCTTCCTCTCGGCGTCCGACACCGCCTTCTGCAGCTCTGACATCGCCTGTCGCTTCACCTCATTCACAGCCTCCTCTATGAGAGAAAGGGAGAGAGAGAGAGGTGTGTGAGTGCCTATGACCGTCATCTCATCCTGCCTGCTCTGTCATCCTTTATTAAGGCCCTTTAAGCTGCCATCTTGTTGTAGCTCAGTGAACAGATGTACATCATCCAAGATTTAAAACTTTCTGCCAGAAAAGGGAAACAGCCAGACTTCAATAATTAATTCAAACACGTCTGGCCACAATAATTTTCAGTGTTGACAACAGCAGATGTCTCTGGAGTTTTGTCGCCAACTTGGCTGTTCATCCAACATCCTGGGATTCCCTAGTTTGCATGATTGTCATCTTGTCATGAGAATTGTTTTAAGAGAACACGTGAGACAGAGTTAAACAGTGATGGGAATAATTTCCCCAGCAGTAGACATGCATATCTCCACTGCAGGGCTCCCTACATTGTCGATGTTCTTTATCTTGGAGCCCTCTGTTCATCCAGCACAAGCACAAACTGTATGAGTGAGGAGGCTGTGTTTTTACAACAGGCAGGTGTGTAGACTCCTTTCCAGATGGCAGTCGAAAATAGAAACTTCCCGCAGAGGCAGGAGTGATTACATTTTGCCATCTTTCATTATTGGCCTCACTGTGCAACAATTTCTCGCAGGTCTTTTTATACCTGGGAAATAGGTTGAAAAACATACACTATTTATTAATCAAACGCTAATGGGGTGTGTCTTGATTCCTCTACAGTATCATTTTCTTCTGCCATCTATGACAGTAACACTTGAGTTTTTTCTCCCTCCTGCTCCACCTCCTCCAGATGTGCCATGTAGACAGTAGTGGCCCACCAGATGATGTGTTGGCCCAACCAAGAGGGAGGTGAGACTGATATTGTTCCCTCCGCTCCTCCATTTCCTTCAGTCAGTGTTTGTTTGAAGAGAACTCATAAATATTCCTTTTAGCTTAACTCCAGTTTTTTCAAACTACTCCAAAAAAAAAGACGAGCAGTGGGGAAGGGGACCTTATCCAGTCATTGCTGTGTGTATATGTGCATGTCAGTGTTTGATTCCTATGCCTTTAAGCCAAAAAGTTAGTTTTCTGTCAAACCTGTCAACACGCTGTCTCTATACCTGCCCTCGTCTACCTTCATCCTTCATTTCATTTGTACTCTTTTTTCCCCTCATACCCTTCCTCCTCCTATTTCTTCTTTCCCCTTGCAAACAATATCTGCATTATCCCAGGCTTCTCAATTATCTGGCCTAATGCATGCACCACTAAGATTAGTTTGCAAATTTAATTAATTCTTATCAAGGAGACTGCACAGCAGATGCTGGGGCAATTAGCACTTAATGGAAAACACGGGGGCAGCAATATTAACGTTTTAATTCCACAGGGATTTGGCAAGTCCCTGAAACGTGTTATTTCTGTCTGCCTTTTCACACTTCAGATCTTATTTTTTCAAAAGCACCGCAGTCTCTCAACCTGAACCAGACCAGAGAATACGTGTGTAGTTTTTAATTAAAAGCAGGAGGTGCAGCAGCTACATCGGGCCGACTACCCAGCTCGCCGAGATAGAGGTGACACGTCAACACATACAAACACTACAGAGGTGAGATGTTGGGAGCTACGTTACTCACCCTGCTTGTTTTGGAGGTGCTTTAGTGCTGGGGAGAGCGGGATGCTTGTAGTACCTGTATGAAAAACAACTGCAATTAAAAGAGCTTTTTTCCTGCTGGTGAAAATGCAGCACAGTATTTTGCCAACAGCAGCAGCATCTTAGCTCCGCAGGGTATTGGAGTATGACTGCAACATAATAGCGCTGGGACTGGTACTGGAACAAGGGCTGAGTCAGATGACTCCTGGGATGGGCTCTATCTAACATGCAGCATACGAGGAGGCCCAGGCAGTGCAACACTTCCACCTGCTTTCCATTTCTCTACAGAATGAGTGGACATTAATCACCATGGTTCAGATTTCTTTGTCTGTAAAGATGAATGTCTGTAGTTGATGCACTCCAGTGATATATTTTAAAGGAAAATTGAAAGAGAGGTATAAAAACTTGAGAGCGAGTGTGTTTCTCAGGACAATGGAGACAAGTTGCGGTCCAACCTGTGCTGCTCTGCTGCGGCAAGCCTTGGGCCGGATGACTGCATTTTCACTGCAGCTTTAACTGCAGTGGCCTTTCATAATGGTGACTGATGGAGGGCGTCTCGCCTGATAATGACACAGTTCTCCAATCCTTTGGCCTGATGGACCTACGGCTGTGAGAGCTCTTTTCTGTGTGTCTCGGTAGCCAGGGCGAGGGCCACGAAGACTGATGATGGTGATTGTGTGTGTGTTTTGTTCGTCTGTATGTGAGGTCAATTAGGGAGACAGTAAGAAAAAAGGAGGGATGTTGGCTCTTACCGGCTTTCCTCCAGATTTCCTCTGGCAGGTATCCTGAGGGAGGCCTGTGTAAGAAGTCTCGGTGGATCTCTGAAACACACATGTGGGGAACACACTGAGTCTCAGTTACACACACACACACACACACACCCACACACGGTGACAGACTGTTGATTTGCACAAACACACGCACACAACCCTCCCCTATAGTTTGTAGGTTTCAATTTGGAATCAATGCCATTAAACCTTTTCATCCATGTCTTGAATATAAATCTTAATTATGAATGAGCATGCTGGAAACTTGTGGGTGGAATCAGTTGTTTAAAGATCCAGGATGTTGCAGCTAAGTTTTTTTGTTTCACACTATGAGCTAGAATTTGTAAATTTGAAGAAAAACATGATCATCTCACTGATTCTTTGTGTTAAAATCGATGTATTAAGGCATCTCAGCATTTCAAATAAGCCCTACCTTGCAGTGAGTGTTTTGCTTTTGCCAAACATAACCTGCGTGTGTTTGTCTACCTGTCTGTCTGCCTGTCTGCCTTTCTGCAGCCGAGGGAGTTCCTATGGGCAGTGACTCGCTGCCGCTAGCTGTGTTGGAGGAGGAGTTGTGGTGAGGAGTAGGAGGAGGAAGAGGAGGAGGAGGAAGGCAGTGCTGTCCGTTGCTCCCACCTTTTTTCATCTCCTCCACGTCGCTGTAGCGCCGAATCCAGTGGTTCATCTCCTCCCGGTCGGCCTCCTGGCAGCGGCGCAGCACCGTCAGAGAGCGGCGCGTCTTCTCCACCATGTCCATGATGCAGTTCAGCAGCTGAAAAGAGATGGGATTGAGGATAGGGTGAAGAAGTGATCAATGAACAGGTGAAGTTTAAAAATATAAACATGCTCAGGGTGCTCAGGATTAAATAGAAAATAACTAAAACTTCAATAGTGAACTGAAATGAACCAAACTGTCATAAATCTATTAAAAACTCCACAGACCAGATGAACAAATCTGATTCTACAGGAACAAATTACTTTTGGAGCCACTGTGCTTGTGTGTGAATTCACGCACTATTTCAATCTGCCCCCAAACACATACCACCCAGCAGATGTTGTGTGTTTGTGTGCAACTATGTGTCACTGTCTGTGCCAATCGGTTCGTGATTCGTGTGTTTGTCAGTGATTTCCAGTGTCTTTAGAGTCTCACGGCAGCGATAAATTAACAGCTGGACTGCTGATGAAATAGTTGAGCCAATTCCTTCCACCCTTCTGCTCCCTGCCAGCTCAGCAGATTTCCTCTGCTTCCTCTCCATGCACCCACTGTTGTAAACAATGTCCATTTTTTTCCCCCACAGCGCCCAGTTTCCAAACCTGGCCCGCTCTTCTAAATGGGTTTAGCATGGTTGACATTCAATCCTTATCATTCTTCTCATTAATCTTTGCGTATCTCTCTGCCTCCCCCCCCC